ACTCTTTGAAGCTTTGTAATTCAACGAAAGCAATTCGGTTGTACAAAATATTGTGAATTTACCTCCTTGACCCCTTGTGACTCAGTAATGTGGCTTTTCCCTACGTTCTTAAATTTGTTCTTTTGTTTTTGTTTTTTTTTTTGTTTTTTATATAACATATTATATTAAATATTATGTATACGGCACGAAACTGAGATTGTACTAAATATTTAAGCCTGTTTAATAGTGTTCAATAAAGGAAAAAAAAAAAAAAAAAAAAAAAAACTATATAAATAATAAGCTTTTTTCTGCAAACATTTCAATATCTGGAAAAAATGCTATTTAGAGCAAGAGTAATAGCCATAAAAAATATATAAATGGGATTTTTTGGTGTAAAAACATTGATAATTTGCATGGTAAACACTTTTGCACAGTTGGCACAAAAATGGACCACTTGTGCCAAATGTGCCCATTAGGTTACAAAAAAGCCCCCAGCATCAAAATAGTTCCACCTAAAGGTCTAAAATTTCATACACAGGTGTTTCCAACACCACGAACATCTGCTCTGGTGAGTTTGAACAACATACCATAAAGTATGTCTTCAGGAGAAACCTTTTGCAATTGCCTTTTTTTTTTTTTGGAGACAAAAAAAAAAACTAACTTTGGAATGACTCATGTTTGAGAAGCTGTAGTGCAGACTGTGTCCTTCCTAACAACTGTAACATACATTTTCAGAAACTAGAAGGTTGTTACCTTTCAAATGAGGCAACAAAAATCAGACACAGAGAAGATGCCAAACCCACACAATAAGCATTTCCATTTGGGTATCATAATTCGAGAAGGAGCAGGCGAAATTAGGTGATCCTTAAAGGGTTAATATACTGTATATGTTTAATGAGTTTTCTCCGAATTAAACATTTAAAAAAATGTGTTGAGATATATCTAGGCAAAGACCAATCAAAGAGAAGGGGGAGGGAGCTTTTTTTTTTTTTTGGTCGTTTTTTTTCAAATCATGTACCATCGCTCTCTTTATTCTGACAAATCCAGACAATCCACTTTGAAGAAACATTAACCACCAAATAAAACTTTTTTTTTTAAACTCATGAAACTGCATAAATTCATTTCTTTTGCCATGATTACAAAAGCTAGACCAAGTGATTGTCACAGAGTAGAGAAATCCCGCTGCAGTCTCTGGATTATTGGAACAGCTAGAAATATTTTGCACAGCATTTTTGACAATACTAAAGATATATTACATTTGACCCCCAGTCTATTTTTAACCCTGAACTTTTCTCTCATGTTAAGAAATGAACAATGGAAACATGCACCAGCTTTGCACATGGATATTCTGGTTCAAAGCCAAAGAAGGATAGGAATATGTAAGAGCTTTTTGCCCTGTTTTACTTTTTCAAAAATCAACGCTTGAAGTGACACAAAATAACGTCCTCCCATCCAAAACCGAGAAGAATTATGGAATTGCAATAAGTAGAGAAGCGAATATATGTAATTGTTATATAGTTGTTTTTTTAAATTACTTTTTGTTTACATCATATTTGACGCCCGGTCCTTTTTTTTTTTAATGTACCTTAAATTGGGAAATGCTTTGCAAAAAATCCTAGCTTTTGTATCATGGGTCAAAACAGATGGGTTTGAAATAAATTCTTTGGAGAAACACAGTTGCACACATTATTAGCTATATTCCAATAATAAAGCAACAATCATTTTGAGTATTTTTGACCTTCAAACATCATCATTTGACAATTAGAGTAAACTTGGGACTGACTTTCTCTTTGGCCCTAGTTATTGAAAAAAAGTTTTGAAAAGGAGTAAGAACAACCATAGCGAGACATTGTTGTGATAAGTTCATTTGCAAAAAAATTGCAACAATGTTCTACCTCTAGCTGTAAATCTTTTGAACTGTTTTGTCACTGGCAATAAGTTTGAAAGAATTTGGTCAAGATACTTGTTAAAGCGTAAAGTGTAAGCCTTTTAAATATTTGTGTTTTTGCCACTTTTGAATATTAATTTTCCAATACATTTCTCCTGGTTAGTGTTTATCCACCTGTATATTACTGTCTATGATGTTTACACTTACCATCAGAGACCCGTCCACAAGAGGAGAGCAGCAGTATCCATATTAAAGCCATTTTTCTTCAATAACACTTGATAGCAAACTCTAAAGCAGACTCTATAGCTCACTGGTCTTGCACACAGCAGGATTATGAAATAGAGTTAGTGGTACAGGACAGATCAGAGAGGCCCCTGTAAAGCTCATATGACACTACTCCAGGGGTGGAAACTTGTCAGAGGAGCATCCCCTGAGAAGGGCCAGCACCAGCTCTGCAAACTCCAAGGCTCAGACGACAATATTAACCTCTTTTGGGTTTTTCATTATGGCTCAGTGGTATAGGAAAATAGATTATTGTTTGCATTGAGATTTTGACACTCGACAATAAACAACATTTATGGACATTGGTCTCTACCCGTTATGGACCAATAGATAAATGTTTTGTTTAATTTCAATGCATTTCTTGAGTTTGAACTTTTTGATTCTCAGTGATGGGAATAACGGCGTTACGGGTAACGGCCTTACTAGTAACGGCGTTACTAACGTTACTAACACCGTTACTTTTTTCAGTAACGAGTAATCAAACTAGTTACTTTGACTGTAACTATAAAGCCGTTATCATTTCCGACATCCCGTTACTGCGCGTTACTCAAGACGCACAATTAACTTTTCTCGATAGGACTCGTGCGCGTGTTGTCATGAGAGAAGGGAGGATGAGAAAACCTCTCAGCAATTATTGGCTGATGTAAAACATATTTCCTTTACAATCTACATGTCTACAGTTGAGAGGATGGCTCATAAATTGGGTTTTTGAAACAAATATGGGTCTTAATCGCGCTCAACCGGCTAAGCGCATAGTGAGCGCAGAAGTCGGCTGCATACAATTCCATCGAAAAGCTCCTTTCTCTCCTGGTTTATCTGCTAAGGGCAGCAACAGGGTTGGCTAACATACATATAACACATTTTAAGATAATTTAAAATGCATTTAGGGTAATTTTTCAATGACTATAGGAATGATAAGAAAGAGAGGTGAAGTGTAAGACGGTTGATTTTAGAAAATGGATGCACCCGGCTGCAGCAAAACAGAGGAGTTTATGGAGGAGTCACGCGTTTTGTTTTACTTTTTTTAAACTCATTGGACTCATTTCCAAATGGAGGATTACATATCTACGCTCAAACTATTATCTGGACTTAAACACGGAACTGGTCGGAAACGAAGTGGCCTGTGCAGGTCATTTATAAGGTAAGTCCCATAACTCATAGTTTTGCGTTTTGTATGAACAAACAATGCGGGCATGAAACATATTCTGCTGTAGCCAAACAAACTGTGAATATGCCACTCTCTTGGTCCAGATGATTTATGTGATATATATGTTCATCTGATTGGGCTGAAGTCAGTGCTTCACCGGTGTTTCCACATTCACAGTGGCAGGTGTTGGTGTTTAGTGCTTACAGCACAGAGAGAGATGGAGAGTGAACAGGACTTCAGCGGCAAAACAGCCTTTTCTAGATGGAAATATTGGCACTATTTCAGACTCACTAAGGTTAAAGGTAAAAATGCGCACCTCGAGTGCACATTATGTTCCAGAACAAAACGAAAAAGTAACGCAATAGTTACTTTTATAGTGGAGTAACTCCGTTAGTAACTAGTAGAAGTAACTACTACTAGAAGTAACTAGTAACTATAATTACTTTTTCAAAGTAACGTGCCCAACACTGTTGATTCTTGGATCTGTGTTGGTGAATTCAACAGTTTTGTAAAGTCCTCCGAGATAACTACTGTTGTGATTTAGAGTTATACAAGAACAAATGAAATTCAATCTAAACCAATGCATCTACGGACATGCCCCGGACTATCTCACAGAACTTCTCACTCCTCCGCCCATAACCAGAGCACTCCGGTCCACAGACACCAACCTCCTCTCCATCCCCAGAACTAAACTCCGGACAATGGGTGACAGGGCTTTCCAGGCGGCTGCTCCCAAACTGTGGAACGCCCTACCACCACACCTGAGGGCCCCACAGTCATTGGAGACCTTCAAAAGAGGACTTAAAACTTTTCTGTTCCCTTCTTAACATTGTTTTAACTTTAATGATGTGTGCTTTTATTGTTGTTGTTCTGTAGCACTTTGATATTTGTATGTAAAGTGCATTACAAATTAAAGGTATTATTATTATTATTAAACTAAAATATTAATGAGACTGTATATCAATTGAACATACAGGATGAACATTCAATTCCTACTATTTGTATAGATTATGACTAAGATGGTGCAGAGAGCAGATAAACAGGGCCATCACAGTCTTCATTTCACATTTTATAGCAGCAGTAATAACTATAATTATACTATCTCTCATAATTCATGTTTAAAGGCTGCTTCGACATGTGTGCAACCGCTATCGGCAAAAACATTATTCCAAATGAGGGTCGAGTCGATAGAAAAATATTTATTTTGAGAATAGTCTTTTCAAATGCAGAGGACAGACTGGTTCAGGTTAAGTGTATCTTTACCGTAAAGCTGGGGTACTTAACTTTAAAAACACAAACAAATGAACTATGCAATATAATTCATCCCAGATTTCACATCTCTCTGTCACAGCTTTATCAAACAGAAAAAAAAAAAAAGGACGACTCTCACTAATAAGATGAAGACAGCACTGTCTAATTTGTTCACAATATTTTACTTTTGCAAGAGTAAGTAACTCCTCTTTATTCATAAAAAAAGAGAATAGAAGAGAGACAAAAAGTGTATTTGGTATGAAGAAATAAAACTTACTGTTAAGTACCCCAGCTTAGTGCCAAAACTAATTTGGAGAGATGTGGCAGAGATACCTGTTTATATCGTTTTAAATAGTAAATGGGGCTAAAAGCAACTCAGGTCTCTGATGTTTCTGTTTGTTTAATCATAGTTAAGTTTGTAGATATGTCGCAAAAGGTTATATGATTGTTGTCTTAAAGTTTATGTAGAAGTCCAAGAATGCACAGAACCAACGCTGTCGCTGATAAAACCGCAGCGATGAGTCCAATCCGCACCCATGGGAAGTCTGACCAGTCCACTGAGTCCTCCTCTTCTTCATCCACATCTACAGAATCAAGACAATGTAAAAACCTCAAAGTGATCAGAGGTTAATGCTATAGGAGCACTTTAACTCACCTTCATGGGGGAAAGAAGTGAACGTTTCCTCTTGGGCTTCCATCGGAAGAGTCTCTGTGCTACTACTTACTGAAAACAAACAACTTTTTATAGATAACGTATTTTTAAAGGCACACCGTGTAACTCTTGGCCACTAGGGGCGCTAGACCTGCAACTTTCACGTTTAGCGCCCCTAGTGGCCACAAGCAACTCAGCACTGTCGCAAAAGTCAACAAACAGTCAGCCGGTGTCTTTTGAGTGTGTATTCAGACAGCATGCACTGGTGTGTGTGTTCAAACTGTAGAGACATGCCTACAGATATTGAGAGACTCTGCTGTGGTCAGCCTCCAGACCGCTGCATTAGTAATCTACCACACATGGACTTCTATATCCTGGATGAGGGAGTTCTGCGTCTAGCTCGTGCTGCGTGGAATGACATCTTTGCAGTCGATGACATCCAGGAACCAGGTGAAGAGCAGCGCTCATACAGACATGCAGCTTACAGCACGATCCCTTTTCGCGTTTCCTCTTTTTAGCCTCCTCCGAAGGTTTAAAAATTTTTCCTTGCCTCAGCCATGACCAGGAGTCGAGCAGGTGAAAAATGAGTAGCAAAAGCCTTAGCTCCATGAGTATATCAGCGCCTGTAGCCGTAAAGCAAGTCTTTCTTCCAAGTCACGTGACCTGGTGGCAGACGGTCCGTCTGCTCGAAACTTACATGGGCGGTATTTCAAGAGGGCAGCCCCCGCTCGGAGCATTGCAAGTGTCAAGCGCTGTATATTGGCCCAAGTATTCATATAAAATAACTCATATGTGTCAACTCTTTAGGTCACAAAGTCCGCGGTGTGCCTTTAAAGGAATAGTTCACCGTTTTTACATACTGACATATGTTCTTACCTTACCTTAGACTAGTTAATATGTACCTGTCTGGTCTTAGTCCGTGCGCTCTGTCATGCAAACGGAGCAAAAACGGGAGCACAAACGCAGCCTCCTCTGTATATTGTGTAGGACCAAAAGGTAGCTCCCGCTAGAAGCTACCAAACTCTTCCAAGTGTTCCCTATTAAATGTATATAGTTACGTGACGTGTTACACTGCAAAGTACAGTAACACAGAAATGTAACTGTCGATTTTCTCAGCGGATAAAACGGTACTATATTGTGAGGCGTAGTAATCTGAGGAGCGCTACGGTCCGCGCACATAACTTCTCTCCGGAGACTTCTCTCTCGCTGCTACTGTGTGTACTACAAGTCAAGCTGCTTCTATTGACGGAAGTGAGCGAGAGAGAAGTCTCCGGGAGAGAAGTTAGTGCGCGGACGTAGCGCTCCTCAGATTACTACGCCTCACAATATAGTACCCATTTTATCCCTGAGAAAATCGACTGTTACATTTCTGTGTTACTATACTTTGCAGTGTAACACGTCACGTAACTATATACATTTAATAGGGAACACTTGGAAGAGTTTGGTAGCTTCTAGCGGGAGCTACCTTTTGGTCCTACACAATATACAGAGGAGGCTGCGTTTGTGCTCCCGTTTTTGCTCCGTTTGCATGACAGAGCGCACGGACTAAGACCAGACAGGTACATATTAACTAGTCTAAGGTAAGGTAAGAACATATGTCAGTATGTAAAAACGGTGAACTATTCCTTTAAGTGTCTGCCCGCTTCCTGGTTCCATATATCTATATTACATATCTACTTTTATGTTAGCCCAAGTTAGCCACATTATTTAGAGTCTACTCCAAGGATCTAATTAAAATAACTGGATAGGGCATTATTAGCTTATAGCTGTTCCACCCATGGGCACGGGGTGCACTAAGCCCCAGTGATCCAAGGTGGCGCCTTATTCAGATCAATAGTTTGTGCTCAGTATCGCATGGGACATACATGGGGAGCAAAAGATTGGCGGAACTCGTCCGTACTTGGGTATTGTCAGGTCCACATCAGTGGACGAGATCCCATGATGTGTTGCACAAAATAAACGTGCGTGGCTCACGTGCACGTGCATAGGGAGGCTTGGGCCGCGTTCTGACCAATCAGCCATTGGTGATCAGAGTGGAGCTAGAGCAAAGTTTGAGCAAAAGCGAAACAAGCAGTCTGTTGCACTTACTGTAAGTGTGGATTCATAGGAAACCGAGGGATTTCACAAAGCTGAGGTCGAGCTATTTTAGTATACATTGGGTTCTATGGGACATTTTTCTGGGTAGCCCATGAGAATTGAATGTGCCCCCCATGGATCTATGATAACTGGATAGGGTATTACTAGCTTATAGCTCTCCAAATATTAGTGAGGGTGAGCCACATTAGCATGAGTTTAGCCATGTTAGAAAGAGAGCGTAAGTTGGGCACAATATCAAGACTTTGCCCGAGTTAGCCACATTTGCAAGTTACCTAGAGATAGACAGATAAGCAAGAGTTAGCTTGAGTTAACCACTTTAGCAAGAATTAGCCATCCATCCATCCATCCATTTTCTTCCCCTTAATCCATTTCTGGGTCGGGGGTGGCAGTTGGAGCTGTACACTTAGCACCAGCCCCTCACTGATCCTCCTGCAGGTGGAGAGTCCACGGGAGCCTTGATATTTCAGCGGGGGCTTCAGGCAAAGTGGGGTTAAGTGTCTTGCCCAAAGACAAAACGACAGCAGACATCAGTGGGAGTCGTGGAGTAGGTCTCGTGGCTTGATTCCACGACCATCAGGCTCAAAGGCCAATGCTCTACCAACTGAGCTACTGTCGCCCTTTTAAAAGTAGCCATATTAGTAAAAGTAGACCTGAGTTAGCCACATAGCATTTCAAGTCTATATTTTCAGACTGTAAAAAACCCAAGCCCCGGTGATCCAAGATGGCGCCCTATTCAAATGAATGGCTTGTGCTCGGTAGTGCATGTGCCACCATGAGCTTAGAGATCACCAAGATTAGCGGAACTCGCTCATATTTGCGCATCGTCTGGTCCTCCCGGTTCTGTGCAGTGGACGAGCTCCCATGATGCGTTGCGCCAAATACGCGTGTGTGGCTTTCCTGCTCGTGCACAGAGGAGCTCGGCCGCGCTCTGACGAATCAAAGCTGCGGATCAGAGCAGCAGCAGAGCGGAGTCAGAGCAGAAAAAAAATCTGAATCGGAATCTGGATTTAAGAAAAAAAAGTTCAGGATGACAAGGAACACTAAAATCCCCACTAAATCCGACCTTTTTGAAAGCTCTAGGTTCTCTGTCATGAGGTCGAGCTGTTTTAGTTTACATTGAGCTATGGAACTTTATTTCCGGGTAGCCCGCGTGACTTTAGTCCATGGGCACCGCCTATGCCCATAGTTGGGGCGGCTATCCAGTTATTATTATAGATCCATGAAAAAAACCCAATAATCAGAGTAAAACCTAGTGAATCATCCATCCATTTTCTTCCCCTTAATCCATTTCTGGGTTGGGTGGCAGTCAGAGATGCCACCCAGTACACAGAGCACCAGCCCCTCACTGTTCCTCCTGCAGATGGTGAGTCCGCAGGAGCTGAAATCTTTCAGTGGGGGCTTCAGGCAAAGTGGGGTTAAGTGTCTTGCCCAAGGACACAACGACAGCAGTTATCAGTGGGAGTCGTGAAGTAGGTCTTACGGTGGGCTCGAACCCACGACCTTCAGGCCCAAAGGCCAATGCTCTACCAACTGAGCCACTATCGCTCAGTTGGTAGAGCCACTGAATCCATGACATCAAAACCTGTGTTTACAACATTTACACGAAATAAGCTCTTGAGCTATAACCTGGTACATCTTTCCCTTTGAAGTTAATGTTTATTTTACACTGTCCCTGTGACTTCAAATAAATAAACCAAATTAACTAAACTTTATAACATATCAAGCATCTCACCTTCCATTACCGCTGTAACTGTGTTGACAAATATTGGCATTTCACTTGTTGTAGTTTCCTCAATGTCAAGCTCAAAAGGAACAATCCCAGAGAAAGTACTTCCAGATTCCTCTGTGGCGTTCTCTGTATTATTTTCATTTTCTACAAGATCAGAAATGTCACTTTAGCAAAGTTTTTCATGATAGAGAATAAAGGGTGATTAACCTGAGTCATAAATAAAGTATTTGAATATAACTTTGATAGTTCCAGGAATCCCAGGCTTGGCTTTCTCTGACTGCCTGGAAATAAAGGAAATAATTATATAAGTTAGGAAAAAGAATATATGTATATATAAAAATAAATGCCATAATCTCTGACTATAAGGGACACTTGTATGTAACCTGCACCAGCAACAAAAGAAAATCAATTTTAATTTTAATTTTAATTTTTATAAAACTCATATATATGTAGAAGGTTTTTATGTTGTCATCTAGACGACTGTTTTAACTGGTCACAACAGGATTCAAGGACAATAACACCTTAATTTATTTCGACTCTTGTATTTATTAAAAGAGTGTCATATACAGTAGTTACTAAAACTTGCATCATCGTTTAGACTCTATGCCTTTCCCATGTTCTCCTGTCCCCCCTCCCCTGTATGCGTGTCTCCACCTTCCTGGCGTGGCAGCTCCAGAGTGCAGGGCAGCATCAACACTCATTCAAAAGGATTGGCTTTCCAGCAGGACACTGCCAGTTTGTCAGTATTTGTTTGGCCTTTTTTCTTGCTCCTGCTGTTAATAAGAACTTCTGCCTTCCTGCCTTCATTTTACCTAACTACCTTCAACACGCCTGCCTGTCTGCCTCCCTGCCCTGAAAAAATCTGATCTGCCTGCCCGTCTATACCCGCCTTCGTCCGTCTCCTAGTAATCTGCAGTATTGAATCCTTATCTGTTTTCCAACATAAACTTTTTTTGATTGTTATTTGCATTTTGAGTCCTACTCCTTCACCTGTGTCAACTACTCTAGCCTAATATGTGTATTTTTGTTTTGATAGTTGTTAGGGCATTCAAGCTGCAGGGATCAAAGAACTCAAAAAAGTAGCAACTTATAGTCTGGAAATTAGAGTAAACATAAATGAAGAGAAATACAAAAGAACAAAACAAAAATAATGGTATGAAATACAATGAAAATGAGCCATGAGCACGTACTTGGTGCGGTACCAGCAGTTGTATTCTCCAAAGTCTGAAGATTGTGACAGGGAATAAGGAAACCTGTCAAGGTTTTGATCATAATTATGAAAGTTCTCGTATTCAGGGTTAGGCCAGCCTTCACTGTGTTCGGTCACCTACAGGGGATGAATGATATGAACAGAGTTCATAATCCCTACTTTACTTTCTTGGTACATGTGAATGACAATATATACAGTGCCTCTCAAAAGCATGAATACACCTTGAACTTTTGCTGTTTTTGTCATGTTTACAACCATAAACATATTTTTATTATGTATTTTATTATGAACTCACAAGCAACCAACAACTGTCTCCTGGGTCTCTGTCAGTCTGTGGAAAAGGTTTCTCAATGTTTGTATTAGTTCCTTGGCGATGCAGTAGCTTTGAGGACAGTGATGATCCATGACATTTAGGGACATTCATGAACTTTTATTAACATTTCTGGTCAATGGTCACCCTTCTCATTTGGACCAATTGCTCTTATGTGTTTGTTATTATTTAGCTTTTCTTGTGTTTGAATCTGTTATTCTTTGATATGTTAAGGAATTGACTACTTTGTTATGTCCTCCAAGAAGACTGCTGTTAGGATTCAGGGAAAATGAAATTAATTTCACTGTGAAGTGAACGCAAAATGATACATCATGGTTTTATTATTATAATAATTATTTTAAGATAGAAAACATTCCTACAGCATTGAATTTCCTGTGAAATATAGGGTGGCAGCATTATGTTATGGGGCTGCTTTTCATCATTAGGGACAGGAAAGAGTAACAGGCTTGTTGGTATGGTGGATGGAGCTAAATACAGGACATTATTGGAAGGAAATTAGCTGGAGCTGTGGATTCCACATAGTATTGACTCATGTGGTATGAATATTTGTGCATGCCTTAATCTTCAGTTTTGTATTTTTAATACAATCCCACAATTCTGTATCATTTTGTTTTCATTTCACAGTTGTCTGTTACTTGTGTGTGAACTTAAGGTAAAAACATGACAAAATGTTCCAAAGTACTTTGGAGAAGCAGTGTATGAATTCTAATAGGCATGAGTTTATTCACAGAAAACACAACAGAATAAATTGGATGTGAGTTAATATAAAACCTGAGTATTATTTGTTCAGTCAGTCTGCTGTTGTGAATCTCATAAATTCTCCTTCACCTCGCCATCGACCCTTTCCAACAGAATCTTCCCATCTTTCTCCCACCACACGTTGAGTTCATCCAGATCCTGGTTCCTGGACAGGTGCAGGTAACAGGGCAGAGTCACTGGGGTGTTATCGGGATAGACCTCCATCACAGAGTCTACCTGAGGAGCTGACCACACAAAACCAGCACAAGGATGTGATGAAAGTAAATGTCAAGCCTTTAATATGTAAAAGAGTAATGCTCGTTTGCGTTGCTTACGTTGCACTTGGAGCCAGGTGACAGCCAGGATCTTTTTGCCCTCCTGCAGACACTCGTACAGAGCACTGTCACTGAGAATCACTGAGTCTATCACCAGAGACCAGTTCCCTGTGAGGTCTGAGGCAAAACGGACATGTTTCTGGAAGAAATAAACCGTCATGTCATTGTACTACTGTACTATACCAACTGAAACACACAACTATCAATCTGCAGTTTTCCACAATCAAGTATACTTTTTGGACTATTAGGCACATCTGTATATAAGATAAGAGAAACCTTACTCGACCCACAGTGTCACTGTTGCACACATTACAGCATAATAAAAGGAGGAAAAAGAGCTCTCAAGTGGCATAACAGAATCTGTTATTCAAAAAAGTGCTACGTAGTACGAGAGAAAGGTATTTTTCTGAAATGATTGAAGGCTGCAGTAGCAAGCTGCATGTTCTGTTTTCACCATGTTTGTTAATTTCTCCAGTGTGAGATCAATAAAGTCTTATCTTATCAACAGTTAATGGATAAACAAACCGCTGTTCAGCTGCCATCAGAGCTGACTTCCAAATGTTAATGTAATGAGTTTGCCAATTTTTTTAATTTCATGGTTCAAGGATCAAAAACACCATTGTCTCCAATCCACACACAACAATCCTACAGCAGCAAGGCTCTTTGAGCTAACTCACTTTGCACCTGTAGATAATAAAGGATTATTATTATTACAAAAAAACCTGCACGACTATTGCCACTGTTTCTTTAATTGACACTTTTTATTGTAAATAATATATCCTGCATTTAACAAGTTTGCACATTTCTCTCTTTTGCACAATCTTGAGTGATTCTATCCATGCCAGATATGACATGTACATTTCTCCTATGTGAGATCAATAAAGTCTATCTTATCTTATCTTATCTCTGTCCAAGAGATAATCACAAGTCTGAGCTCCTCCACATGCAGCCTGGATGTACTACCCACTAGATTTCTAATGTCTGTTCTGAGCAGTCTGTTACCTTCACTCGTGCAGAGAATAAACATGTCCCTTCATCCCAAAGGGCCTGAAAACTGCGGTCGTAAGCCTTCTAAAAAAGAGCACTTTGAATGCCACAGTACTTAGAACTAGAGGACTGGGTGGTCCTCACAGAGACTAGAGGACTGGGCTGGTGTCGCTTGCACTGCCCTAAGTTGGCTTAGGTCTTGACCTTGAAGACAGGAAGTATTTTGTGGAGATCATTTGGCCCTGACCTGTGGAGTACCACAGAGGTCGATCCCGGGACCTCTTATATTCAATCTCTGCATGCTGCTATTAGATCAGTCAACACACAGTAACAATGTGTCCGATCACAACTACGCAGATGACACAGATCTATGTTTCACTGACTGCAGAAGACTGTTGGACTCAATCTGGAACTGGAACAATCTTCATGAAAATGTGAGACAGGCCTCTTCTCTGACAATGTATAAATCCAGGTTAAAACAGTTCTGTTTACCTGTGCATTAGACTGGCCTTAGCCATACGTAAACTCTGGTCAATTATTATTTCAAATAAAAAGTGTACAATGGTGTGGTGAGACCAGGCTAGCTGTGCATACGACTGAAGGATTTTATATCTTTATCTTTCTTTTTGATGTAATGCGATGATTTAATGTCTTGTGTGTGATTGTTTCTATCCTGTCTTGATCAGCACTTTGAGTTACCTTGTGTATGATATGTGCTATACAAATAAACTTGCCTTGCCATAATAAAATAAAATAAACTCTGGAGCTATGATTGCACTTGGCTCAAGGATAAGTAGAGTAAGATAAGATAAGATAGACTTTATTTATCTCACACTGGAGAAATGTACATGTCACATTTGGCATACACTGTAGATAGAATCACTCAGATTTGTGCAAAAGACAGAAGTGTGCAACATGGAAACCTGCACCACCTATATTTTCCATGTTGTAATGTAGCAGATAGACGACTGTTTCAACTGGTCACAACAGGATTTAATGAAGAGGAGTTCAACGGCGATCGTCACAGACCAAGCCATTTTGAGTCAGAACCTCCCACCTCCAGCTGACTGAAGTCCCGCCCCCCTCCCATCAGCTGGAAAGTAATCAACCTCCATTCTAACCAGTGGGTCCTGCTGTTGCACCTCATCTTTTTGGAGCTTTTTATTTATTGTGCTTAGAATAGGATTTCTGTTGCACATTTACATTTTTGGATATAATAAAGTCGTGTTACTTTTTTGACCATTGCTTCCCGTTTCTGTTCCCCGCCCTTTAAATCAGTTATTAAGCAACCTTTGGCTCGTGACAAAATAACAAATCCATAAACTATCCATCCCATAAAAAACATGCATATTATCCACATCTATATATATGTAACACGCCGAGATCAAAGAACTAGTAAAAAGTACTGGCCGGAAATTACAGTACACATGCATTTTGGTCTTTCATTCTTGTTTTTCACCTCGTTACAAACACTTCCTCCAGCCTGTCCTGAGTATTCCCTTAGAGATAGTCCTACTTCGATATAACTCACATTGTATTGATGAGCTATGGTCCTTCCAGCTGTTGTCGCAGAGGCCAGTTTGGTGCCCCAGGCCTCCCAGACAACCTCTGCGTCTTCATCCAGGGTAGCAGAGCTGTGACACGACAGAACTGCGGTCTCCCCATACTCCAGATAGATGAAGTCAGTTTTTGAAAGGTCTATTTGAGACAATCAGCAAGGGGACATGGGCACGATGATGGTATGAATTTAATTCTGGTGACACAACTACTGTAGAAAAGACATCTGGTCTAAATTAGGGCTTAGGCTGAAGCGTAGGCTGTAGCCCATAGACTGAAGGTTTTGTTTGTATGGATGGATGTGTTTCTCCTGCTACTGGACACCTGAAATTCTCCCTACAGGGGATCAATAAAGTATCTATCCATCTATCTATCTATGACCAATAATTAAAATGCTCCAAAGTACCAGAAAGAACAAATATTATGAATTTTGTGTTTATTTTGTCCTCGAAATATGACAGAGACCAGTGGTCCCCAACCTTTTGTGCCCTGTGTACCTCACCAAGGTATTCTTGTATAGCACACATAAAAACATTGGTCCAAAAGATAAAATAATTTATTTGCCAATTGCAGTAAAACCACATTGGAAAAACTGTGCAAGACTACCCCCAGAGTGTGACCAATGTCTAAAAATGTTAGATGGCCATAAATATCGTTACATTTCCTGAATCATCAACTTAGACAATCCTGTATTCACAAGGAACAACAACAGCAATAAAACCCATTGGGAAAAAGTGAGAAACTATTTTATTTTATTTTTTACTATTTTATATTGAGGGGAAGTTTACCGTCTTATAATTCACGTTGCTCAGTCAAAAACAGTTTTATGTTGTTTAGGCTTCACTGTTATACAAAGGTCTCCATCAATTTCTTTGTGGAAAGTGTAATTATTTAAATCAGAATATCTTTTTGACTTTAAGGAAAAACGTGTCTGAGGAATCGTTATAGTGTAACAAGTTTTAAAACATAGTATTTAGAACTTACAATGTCATTCGCTCGCACTAAACCTGGACTAAAACTAGTACAAGATATTCTGTTTTTTTATATCCGACCAACTCACCGATGTTGAACGATCCGTGACAAAGAGACAGTAATAACATCCATGTTGTGAGAAACATCTGCAAAGACACAAAATATTATTCATTTAAAACATGTCAAATGTGTATGGAAGCCCGTTTCCGCCATGTAAAAAAAAAAAAAGCCTACAGAAAGTCAAAATTTTGACTTTAAAAGTCAAAATTTCGACTTTTAAAAGTCAAAATTTCGACTTTAAAAGTCAAAATTATGACTTTAAAAGTCAAAATTATGAGTTTTCAACTGCGCATGTGCAGTTGAAAACTCGTGTGTGTTGTTGTCTGGAACGGTCTCTGGACGTCCTTCACCTGCAGATTATGTGAAGATATTGCTGACAGCGACCACTGCATCCTTGAAGTAGCCAGAAATAATGTTGTTTGATTGATTCTGTAAAACGTTCCTGTTTAAGCCCCAGACCGCGGTCGTAGGAGGCAGGGAGGAGCTGTCTTTTTATTTATTTATGTTAAATTCAATTTACATATATACAGCATTTAAATCAAACGACTTCTTATTTCGACATAGTAACAAATAATGTGAGCAATACGTTTTTATAATAAATCAAAGGAAAATGAGCCATCGAGACATTCCAATCCAATCTGCTGTAGACCACTCTGACCAGACGATGGCGCTGAGAGGGGTCCACACGGAGCGAGTATTTCCACGGCTGAAAGGATGCGCTTTCTACGTGTTGAGTACGGGGTTTTATTCATGCATCTATAATGGGTTTATCTATTTCTAACCCTTTTCAAAGACCCTCACTGTTATCTGCGGAGTTATTTCTCCGGATTGTTGCTAAAAGAGTCGTGGGCTTTATTTTGTCACAATAAAATAATCAGACAAGGTACTTATTCCCTGTATGTCTCTGTGTTCTTGCTCATACGCCAACAACTTTACCCGCACGCTCCATCAGCTCACCCCCGCATGCACGCAAACACGTCACATACTCTTCAATGCACTGATCGCAATTCCAAAAGGGTATTATTGTCAGTGCCCGTGACTGTGGTTCTCCTGCCTCTGTCTGTGGTTGTCCTGCCTCTGTCTGTGGTTCTCCTGCCTCTGTCTGTGGTTCTCCTGCCTCTGTCTGTGGTTCTCCTGCCTCTGTCTGCGGACCTCTCTCACTGTCCTGTCATCGTGAACGGTCTCTGTCAGTCACAATATTATTCACTGCATTTCTGGTGCATCCATCGATAGCCGTGATACTGACCAGATGTCACCAGTTGATGCTCAATGACTTTGAACAGCCACATGTGTTTTATTATTAATCTTCCACAGTCCGTTTAGGATAAACTAAATAGAGGCTTCTGAAGCGGATTCTAATCATAAACGGAGAGACCGTTTGCATTTTAACGCGATTACTACCACAACATTATTGCTGCTACTTCATGGATGTGGTCACTGTCTGTAGGCAAAATCTTCACATAATCTGCAGGTAGAGGATGACCCATGGTCATAGATCTATAACAGGGATGACCAGAGACCGTTCCAGACAGCAACACATACGAGTTTTCAACTGCACATGCGCAGTTGAAAACTCGTAATTTTGACTTTTAAAGTCAAAATTTTGACTTTTAAAGTCGAAATTTTGACTTTTAAAGTCGAAATTTTGACTTTTAAAAGTCGAAATTTTGACTTTTAAAGTCGAAATTTTGACTTTTAAAAGTCGAAATTTTGACTTTTAAAGTCGAAATTTTGACTTTTAAAGTCGAAATTTTGACTTTTAAAAGTCGAAATTTTGACTTTCTGTAGGCTTTTTTTTTTTTTACATGGCGGAAACGGGCTTCCATAAATGTGCCAGCTCACTGCTTACTCATGTTGCAACCAGTACATGCATGTCACATCTACATACCGATAAAAATAGTTTTCACGCCGGTACTTGACAAGCGACACCTTAACGACATGGCTCCCAACATGTTTATTTTTGTAAAGAATGTCAAGAAATATACTTTGATTTACAATTAAAATGCATTGGTCTTTATTGTTTGTGATATGTTTAAGTCGATCATGCATGGCAAAGTTATGTATTTAACTGTTAAACAATTTAGATTTAAAATAAATACAGAATTCTTACCATCATAATGTGATTTTTCTGTGCAAATGCTGGAGAGAAATCCTCAGGGAGCTTGTGACTAAAGCAGGTGTCTGGTGCTGCGCTTCTCCCATGAAACGGTTGCTGGAGCTTTATTTTGAAAGGGTCACGCATGCGTTTCCTCTGCTATAAAGAGAGTGGGAACAACTCAGGACATAAAACTGCCTCACATGAGAGCAGAGACCTGTTTCCACCAGCCCTACTTGGTCTTACTCAACGCTACTCTACCCTACTCTTCCCTAACCACTCATCTTATCTTAACCTACGGACATGGGAGCATTTCCACAGGCCGTATAGATAGATAGATTCTTTATTGATCCCTGTAAGAAAAATTCCAGTGTCCAGTAGCAGCAAAACTAACAAATAAAATTGATCATTCTAAAAAGCTAACAATAGTAATAATCAGCAACAGCCCCTCAGGTCACAGCAGCAGAGGTGGAGTAGCCTCTGGGTGGAGCAGGACGGGTCCATTTTCTCTGCTCTAGTCCAAAGTAAAATGCTAAATGCTTCAATAGCATTTTTCAAAAAGTTATCATTCCCACAGTGGATTTTCACCTGATCCACTTGTTCTGACCATGAATCCTCTCTGCTCCGGTCTGGACCAGTGTAAAACCATGAACACTGTACTGCAGCAAAATTTCAGGTAGAAAAAAGCAATACAAATAACAATTCTAAACCACAAAACAACTGTTTCAGAGCTACTTAGGATTTGCAGCCGTTTTCCAGAGTATTCAACCGGTACTGGTCATACCCTACTCATCTCTACTCTACTCTACCCTCCTATTTCAGCTTGGTCATGTTTTATATATTTTATACTTCCCGATTGCAGATGTCATCATAGAAAGAGGGCGACAGTGGCTCAATTGGTAGAGCTTTAGCCCTTTGTGCCTGAAGGTAATAGGTTCGATCCCACCTCAAGACCTTCTCCATTGACTCCCACTGATGTCGGCCGTGGTTGTGTCCTTGGGCCAGATGCTTAAGCCCATTTTGCCTGAAGCCCCCACAGAAATATCAAGGCAGCCCAGACTAGAGTTCCTGTGGATCCACCACCTGCAGGAGGATTAATGAGGGGCTTGTGCTCTGTGAACTGGGTGCAGTTGACTTCCAACCCCCAACCCAACAATGCACCAAAGGGAAGATAATGTGTCAGTCGTTTAATGCCTATAAATTAGTTTTAGTAACTACTCTGGTGAAATGACTCTCGTTATTATTTGCAGTCGCTCAATTTAAAAAATGGAAGAACAAATGCAACGCCTCTCTCTGGTAAAATAGGAACATGAAGATATTCTAACCCCTCACACTTGTTTCACCACATATCTTCTATTGAAGATAGTTCACATTCTAAAACAAGACATGACAAGTAGACATAACCCTAACCCTGATTTCTAATGGCAAAAAATAACCTGTATTTCTTCTTTAAGTTTGTTCAAATATGTGGGTTTCCTCTGAGTGTGAACCGAACACCGGCTGCATACTTTTGCGTCAGTCAAACCGTAACGTGAGACCGAGCGCTGCGTGGATGGACTTATGCTTTTAACATTTGGGGAATTCACACACGCAGCAGTAAAACAAAACCAAACACAAAGAAAAAAAACATACGAACATGGCTTGATACGGAACAGTTGACCTGGGAACACATGTTCTTTTTAATTCACCAGCTCAAGACACATGTGTATATTTGTAAACAGAAAGAAGAAGGGAAAGAAAGGGCAAAGAGAGTAAGCACTCACAGTAAAGTCCACAATTGCCTGATCTTTGTTGCTGTCTAATTGTGTATGTTTGCAACTCTGCTCGAATGCATCATTTCAATATTTTCAGCAATAAACCCAAATAAAACCAAACACAATTGGAAGGATCCAAGCATTTTAATCAGGCAAATCTCACAAAAATCGAAGTTAGTTTCACAGCATGAATCTCCATAGTTTTGAGGTACTTCTTTAGCAATGAAATTCAGAATATGAAAGCCACACGTAATACCATACAGTGGAACATTTAAGGCAAACAATTTATACCCATTCACAAAAGGTGGGGAGGCATTGCCCTATACATTGGAAAAAATCTCATTTCAAATTTGAAACAAGAAACAACATTTACTAAACGCTTAAATCATCTATGTTTTGAAGAAGGAAAATATGTTCCCAGAAGATTACATTAAATGAGCAAACAAGTTATTTAAAATCTAAGTTAAATTAAAGAAACACAGTAAAATAAATGGATAAAAACCAATTAAAAGCAATGGGAGAGAAACTAAATCAGAGCGATGATGTTAAAAAGCGGGGGGAAAATAAACTGTTTATACTAAAAAAAGTGGTCAGTTTTTCCAGGCGTAGCTGTAGTTGCTCATGTGCAGGTGGTTCAGAGCGGTCTTCCCCAGGGTCGACGGAGTTTGCAGCTGTTTCACTGATGAAGGCGAGATTCCACACGAGGACAAGTCTTCTGAGTCTGCGATCTGGAGACACGGGTTAGAGCAACTAATGTTATGACCAATACTGGATCTAGGAAGGAACAGCATTCATTCTGGGTCTACAGCCTCAGTCCTGGATTTGCAGCCTCAGTCCTGGATCTACCCACTTTTATTCTTTGGTTTTTAAAGAAGCTATACCCGATTTATTTTCTAATGAGTTCATAAAAATGTGCTTTACTACATACAAATTGTATTAGAATCCGTAATTTAATGGAAAAATTGAGCTCATTGATTCAGCTTGTGTATGAATTTAGGCCGTAAAAAGTGCTGAGTAGAGACTTAGCGGGACGCTCGTTCTCTTCCACTCACAGAACGAGCAGCGAATAGCCTGCGTCCTCCAGCCGCTACAGCGCTGGTGGTAAACACAGCAACATATTAGCAAAAAGTGGCTACTTCCTCTATCTGTAACTGCATACAGAGCAAAACAGCCCAACTAAAGCAAAAAAATGATCAAAGAAGAAATCAAGCCTGGGTGAACATACGTAGCGTTAGCCCACCGTTAGCTTACATGGTATCCTCTGGAGAGACCTGCGGGTGCGGGACCGCCTTGGACCATCCATGCTTTTGGACGCAAAACTAGCGGTAATCTTTCAGTTATATATTTTGTTAGCAGCGCGTTGCTTTTGTACCATTTCATCAGTGATTGCTGTACAGCTTACAAGAACTTGCGCTAATGCTAACGTTAGCATACGTATCAGATCGCAAATAAAACTAGATGGCTGCGTGGGATGAGAGCGTAGGGGAAATGAGAAGCCTGTGAGCGTGTTGGGGGCGGTGCTAAACATTCAAACTGAGAAAAACCTTGGAGAAACGGGTATAGCTCCTTTAACACTACATAAGTTGTGTGGTCCTCTGTGTTTTTATTTCTATTTATAATTTTCATTTGTTTTATATCTTTTTATCTTATTGTTTTATACTTGGTGGAGCTATGGATACGTTTCTTGTGCATATATGATACTTTGTGCAGCACTTTGGAAACTTGATTGTTTAAATGTGCTATATAAATAAAGTGGATAGGATTCAGTCCTGGATCTACAGCCTCTTTTTTCACCTGTTCCTCGTTCTTGTGCACGTTCATGACCGCAGTAGGAGCGTGTGTGAACAGAGACGCAGAGAAGTTTCCCTTCTGAGACAAGCGCAACAGAGCGGTCATGAAGTGGAGCGACGACGGCATCACCGGACCTGGACACACAGACATTCACAATGACCAACAATGCTTCAGACAGCTGTTGCCTAAAGGCTTCGCCTAAATAAAGGAGGAACTCTCAATAATCTGTAGTTTTTGCACAAACTATATTTACCCTTGACCTCCAAACTGCTGATGTTCTGGAAGCCAGCTCCCACTTGGCTTTTCACGTTCACACTTCTGGCCTAAAGGACAAAACTCTTTCACATTAAAAATCACTAATGTTATTTCATGTTTTAGAATCAGAAACGAGGAAAACATGACTTCCAACACTACTATCCAGTGTCAGAGGCCAGAAATTACATCAATGAATGACAATTACAAAAAAGGCTGCCATGTTGTTTGCACCAGTGTCGGGTATTTACCACCAGAAAGACAGGAACTTCTGTCGTTCAAAATATTGTATGAGTTCTAAAGTCATAGTGCAGCAAGGACCAGAGAGAGAAAGAGACACACCAGAGAGAGGCCAGAGAGAGGCCAGAGAGGAAGTAGCAGCGTGTGAAACAGCCCAAATTCTGACAGTGAGCTTCACTCACCCAACCACGGCTTGTTATGATGTCATTATGCAAAGTAATGTTTCTTGTCTGACTTGTATGTTGCTTTATAACATTCTTCCCTTGAGCAAAATGTAAGCAGAGTGCTAGAGAAGAGTTTGCTTTTATTGCCGTCTGCTATATTTGGTCACATGTCTTGGCAAAAATACTAAATAGAAAGGCTGGTGTAATGCTGAGCCGTTCAGTGGGAGTGAGAGCGAACTTACCGTGGATACAACAAAAACTACTACTTCAGTACCTTGAGTGTCTGCATTGTGGCTCCTCTGAAGGCCACAGGGGCAAGCAAGGTTGGGGGCAGTCCAGCCTGAGATCCGGCTGAAGCCACAAGAGCTTTGTAGTTGATGAGGAAGTTTACGAGCGTGAAGGTGTCCGCTCCTCGCACCAGGACCACGGACTCAGGCTTGTGGTCCAGGGACACGGTCTGGCCCTCCTTACGCCTGCAGCAGTGGTCAAGGACTGACAAGCCGTGTGTGAGTGTGTGACCAGAGAGAAGGCCTGGGCTACTGTTAGACATGAGGGGGATCATTATGTGCTCAAAATGATTTAAAAATCCAAATAACAGCAAGGAAAGCGTGACAACTAGTTAACTTGCCTTATCCAATTAATTCAATTGAGCAAGATGTATCTGTGAAAATCTCGTCCGTTTGGCATAAGTGGGTTAAACCATTTCTACTGCATAAAACCACAGAAACCGGATACTGAGGCAAGCCATGCTTGCATTAGTAATGTGTGTATTTGGAGCCATTTAGGCCACTTCCTCATTTTGATCATAGTGATAAAGTACACAGTACCTCTGCACGCGTTTAATTATTGTTTTTTTGTTTAAGCAAATGACTGCTGTGCTTCTAAGTGCCAGTAAGTAGTCTCTATACAGTATATTTCAAACAAGGTCACTCAGCAGTGATGGCAGAAGTGACACACCGAACACTGGAGCATCAAAGCCTCTGATTATAAAGGTAAAAGTGAACTTTATTAATCCCTGTGGGGCCATTGATCCTCTGCATTTGATCATCCTGATGCCACTAGGGTTTACGTCAGGAGCAATGGTCGTAGTAGATCGCCCGGGAACCCATCTCCAAATGTTGATGCTCTGCTTGGTCAGGACTACCGCAGCTGGAGGATTGCTGATTGACACCTCGTGTGCACTAACCACTGCGCCACTATGCCTAGCGTTGCGTGAAAATCAAATGCTCAAATAAACTATCTGTGTGATTATATATACATTTGCCTAAATTATTATTATTACTATTATCATCATTATTAGAAATCTTTATTAAGGACATGATATAATATATTACTTTATATAACACACATTTGTGTTACCTGAGTTTTTTAGAGTAGCGTACATGTACTCTGTCTGAAAGTACACCAGTCTAAAAGGATACAGCTGGATGGAGATAGAGTCTGGTTTCCTGATCTTGTCCTGGACTCCCATCTCCTTCAGCCACGACATGTCTTCATCATCATCGTCATTATCAGCATTGGTCCCATCTTCATCGTCAGCACAGTCCTCCTCTTTACCTTCACAACAGCTTCAACACAACAGCATTTGCTCTCAGTATGTTTATGTAAACAGAGCTGCATTTAATATCAAAACTTATAAATAAATCAAGTTTAAATTTTCCTCTAAATCTAGGTGTAATGAGTTCGCACAGTTTTTCGATGACAAAGTACAAGGAATCAAAAACACTATCACCTCCACAGCACGTATAACAATGCAACAGCCAGAGAAGCTTTCTGAGCTAACTCACTTTGCACCTGTGGATACTGAAACTGTCAAAAAGATAATCATGAGTCTGAGCTCCTCCACATGTAGCCTGGATATATTGCCCTCTAAATTTCTGAAGTCCGTCCTGAGCAGTTTGTTACCTTCACTGACACAAATAGTAAACATGTCTCTGTCGTCAGGAACATTTCCTATGGCCCTAAAAACAGCAGTCATAAGACCTCTCCTAAAAAAGAGCAGTCTGGATCCTGCGGGACTTCAAAATTATCGCCCCATATCGAATCTGCCATTTATTGGAAAAATTCTTGAAAAAGTGGCCTCCCAACAACTTACTGAATTTTTAACAATGAATAATTCTTTTGATATGTTCCAGTCTGGGTTTAGACCCCACCACAGCACTGAGACCGCTCTAGTGAAGGTAACAAACGACATTCGACTTCACACTGATGCAGGTAAAGTCACAGTTTTGGTCATGTTAGATCTTAGTGCCGCGTTCGACACTGTCGACCATGAGATCCTCATGCAGAGACTGGAGGACTGGGCTGGTGTCACTGGCACAGCCCTAGACTGGTTTAGGTCTTACCTGGAGGATAGGAAGTACTCTGTGGAGATTGGAGACTGCGTCTCAGATGATGTGGCCCTGACCTGTGGTGTACCACAGGGGTCGATCCTGGGACCTCTCCTATTTAATCTCTACATGCTGCCGTTAGGTCAGTTAATACAAAGAAACAAAGTGTCCTACCACAATTACGCTGACGACACTCAGATCTATGTCTCACTGACTGCAGGAGAACATGGACCACTGGATTTGCTCCTTCACTGTATCCAACAGATCAGTGACTGGATGCAAAATAATTTCCTCCAGCTAAATACAGACAAAACCGAAATCATTGTCTTTGGTCCCCAGAAACAAAGAGAGGGCGTCATTTGTCAACTTCAGTCTCTCTCCCTACTTCCCTCAGACAAGGTCAGAAATTTGGGGGTAATACTGGACTCAGACCTAAATTTCAATAGCCACATAAAATCAATAACATCAACAGCTTTTTACCATCTGAAGAACATTGCCAAAGTTAGAAATATAGTGTCCAGGGCAGACTTGGAGATTCTTGTCCATGCATTTGTCTCCAGCAGGCTAGACTACTGCAATGGCCTGCTTACAGGTCTGTCCAAACAGACCTGTAAGCAGCTGCAGTACATCCAAAATGCAGCAGCTAGAGTCCTGACAGGAACCAGGAAGTATGACCATATTAGTCCGGTCCTCAGGTCTCTGCACTGGCTTCCTGTGGCTCAAAGAATAGATTTTAAAACGGCTCTGCTTGTGTACAAGTCTCTCCATGGCCTTGCACCAGAATACATTAGTGACATGTTGGTGTCATATGAACCAGCCCGGACTCTGAGGAGCACAGGGACTGGCCTCCTGCTGGTGCCCAGAGTGAGAACCAAACATGGGGAGGCTGCGTTTCAGATCCATGCAGCTAAGATCTGGAACAATCTCCCTGAAAATGTGAGGGAGGCGTCTACTCTGTCAATGTTCAAATCCAGGTTAAAGACTGTTCTGTTTGCCTGTGCATACAACTGAAGGATTTTATCTCCATTTTTAATGCACTGCTGTCATTTATTTATTTTTTTAAATTTCTTGTGTAATTTTGAAAGTTTTAATGGTTTTATTCTTTTGTGTGATTTTAATGTTTTAATTGTGTTTTAATCTTTTGTGTGATTTTAATGTTTTAATTGTGATTCTGGTGTTTGTTTTATGTGATGATTTGTGATGTGGACTGTGAAGCGCTTTGTGTTGCCATGTGTATGAAAGGCGCTCTACAAATAAACTTTGATTGATTGATTGATAAATAAATATAATAATGTAACTTAGAAATAAACTCGCTCCTTGCAACCAAAACAGTTGCTTCTATCACTTGTTTTCACATGCACAGATTTTTGGCCTATGTCACATCTTTAGATCAGATTTTTAGACAGAAAAGTGAAAAAGAGAAGACATCCTGAGTCCTAAAGCGTCAAATAGTGGCTCACAGAGATCTTTCTTACAAGTGTGTTTAGTCACTTAAAAGGATGAGGGAGGCCTGTATTTTTCATCATAGGTATACCTCAATGTAGAGTGATAAAATGAAAAAGTATGCAAAATGTATTTGCAAATTATTGTGGAAAATAATTATTTGGTCACCTACAAAACAGCACAATTTCTGGCTCTCACAGACCTGAAGTTCCTTCTTTAAGAGGCTCCTCTGTCCTCCACTTGTTACCTGCATTAATGGAACCTGTTTGAACTTGTTATCAGTATGAAAGACACCTGTCCACAGGGTGGAAACATCATGCTTTGGGGCTGTTTTTCTGCAACGGGACCAGGACGACTGATCCGTGTAAAGGAAAGAATGAATGGGGCCATTTAAGGTGAGATTTTGAATGAAAACCTCCTTGTTCCTTGCCGATACGGGAGGGTCTGTTGGACAGTTAGTGTCCAACAAAAAGGACTGTCTACAACATATATGGACATCTATCAACATGTGTTCTATATTCTTTTTGTGTCTTAACCGTTGATTCTCTGATCTGTGTTGCTGATTTCAACGGTTTTGTTAAGTCCTCTGAGATGACTACTGTTGTGATTTAGGGCTATACAAGAATAAATTGTATTGCATTGTATTGTATTACATCAGCAAGTGCATTGAAGATAAAACGTGGCTGAATGGGTTTTTCAGCATGACAATGATTCCAAACACAGCGCCCGGGCAATGAAGGAGTGGCTTTGTAAGAAGCATTTAAAGATGCATTTCAAGAGTGTTACCCAGCCACAGCCCCAAAACATCACTGCTCTGTTATCTGCATGGAGGAATGGGCCAAAATGCCAGCAACAGTGTGTAAAATCCTTGCGAAGACCTACAGAAAATGTTTGAGGGTATTGAGATGAACGTTATTGACCAAATTCCCCCTAATTCTGTATCTCATAGTTGACGTATACCTATGATGAAAATTACAGGCCTCATTTTTTTAAGTGGGACTTGCACAATTGGTGGCTGCCTAAATACTTTTTGGCCCACAGTACAAATTTAATAGTAAGCATGTCGTGGTCTGGTTTGTTCAAAGTCTCTTTCTGTTGAGATAAACATTAATAAGTTAAAAAAGTACCATTTTAAGACATACTCATCACTTTTCTCTTTGCCACTGTCCAGTTCCTTGTCAATGTCCTGGTCCCTGCTCCGCCTCAGCTCCTCCACCAGGGGGAGACTGATCTCTATGCCTGAAGGGAAATAGCAGCAAAGAACAATCTTTACACAGTTTGCGTATCAAATGCTGCATAAAGAGGTAATAAAGTTTCATACTAAACATGACGCAGATATTAAAGAGCTCACCCTCTGCCTTCAAGGCCTCTCGCAGTCCTCTGGTTGTGGGAGAGATTTGAGCTGTGATGCTTTTGGATTCGCAGAGTCCTGCCGCTTTGAACAACACAGTGAACTGGAAAAACCAAGAGAATAGGGTAAATGGTCAAGTCTAAGTGCTACTTTTTAGTATTTATTTACAGAGAAAGTAGCTTTATACCTGGTAAGAGCAGATGTAGAAATATGGACAGAGTTTGGACTTGAGTAAACTGTACAGGGATGACAGGCTCACGGACCTGTCAAAACAGAGACTTTACTACAAAGAAAAACCTTTCAACTTTAAATTGACCACTAAATAAGTATTATTTACACTTATCAGGTAACTTTGAACACCTCAAAACTGGTGTAAGGAAATGTTCAACCCAAAAAAATAAATTATGTAGTCAAATCCATCATTTCAATTTCTAAAACAGTTTGCTTTTATTTACTTTTAGCCTCTGCCGCATCTTTAGATCAGCTGTTTTGGACCAACCTCACTCAATCAGCTCTCAGTGGGCTCCTTCTTACACAAAGGGTATCGAATAAGACAAATATTGGCCTGATTTGTTTATATTTTACTTTTACCACTTAAATTCCACTTGATTTTGTATTGTCCAAAATCACAACAGCAGTTGGCTTTAACCAGACTATCTGTTGAGATAAACAACATGGATTATATATGAGGGGGAAAAAGTTAGGTACCCTAATTTTAAGATGGGGTACCAGGAATAACAATATTTTGTCTGTTTTTTATTGTCTTTGTATTCAAAGAGTATGGGTATGACGTTAAACTGCATCCATCATGTCCGAGCGCAGGACACTAAAAGGCAGCAAAAAAATCTCTGGCAACAGGAAGTGGTTTGCCTGTGGGACATCTCCCTCAGTAATGGCCAAGAGTCTCAGACTGCGAGTACTAAACTCTGCGAGGTAGCTACTGGTGGATCAGGCCGTCGGGATCCCTTTATGCCGTCTGAACTTTTCCTCCAGTGTCCCAGAGATGGTTAGAGAACCAGAACGATGCACCTATATCCTTAAACTCTGTGCAGGCCAATCGGCAACCCGCCTCACATGCACCATTGCCGATAGTCTTACTCAATACAGAGTGACCACCATTATTACACTGCAATGACAATGTGAATAAAATGTTTTTCATATTTTTCTGCATTATGACCAACTCTTGTTTTTCATAAGAAACAGAGATATGAAATTGCCTGGACCTTGCACCATTTCAAAATTATTTTATTAATTTTGAATAGGGCCAAAACACAATAATCAACATTACTGTAAATGTGGCAGTATTAGCAATACAGCTAGCTTATATTGACACGTTTCTCACCACTCATTCATGAGGCCCTGCTGCACTGTGCTGTCGTCAGACCAGGGGGCACTCTTGCCGCTGAAGCTCCTCTCTGCATTGATTCGAGGAAAGAGCGAGACCCAGGGGAGACTTGGGTGCTGCCAGTAGACCAGGCTCTGCTGGAAGGACGAGCGCAGGTCAAAGCACGACTTCGGGTCCTGAGAACATTTAGACGTTGGTAAAGCAGTTCTAGTAGCATCAGTGATAATAATGAATCCTCTTACAGAGCACATCAAAAACTTGTCTTTGATTTTAGTCGTAACAGTTCTCATATGCATATTGTTATTGATAACTTCCAAGTGCAGATGGTAAAGTACATTTTTCCAGGTTAAACTCTGTCTAATGACCTTAAATGGGACAGATCATTAGACACTAAAAAGGTTGTTAAGAAAGGTTGTTAGTAGGGCTGTTATCCCGATATTGGTGCGTGCGATATCCATATCGAAAAAATGCACAATAAAAAAAAATATATATATATTATATATATATATATATATATATATATATATATATATATATATATATATATATATACATACATACATACATACATACAGTATATATATATTTTTTTTCTTTATTAAAGACAACAAAACAGACAGACACATCATCCTTCAACAAGAACATCAAACAAGTATATAAATATATGTATTGAATGTCATTAAGCCTAGAAATTTATGGACAGAATTCTAGGCGCAGCCAGGGGCCAGTGGGGGTCCAGTTCGCAGTCCACAGGATTTCATCTCTGCTGTTTGCGGATGATGTTGTCCTGTTGGCTCCAACGAACCAGGACCTGCAACATGCACTGGGACGGTTTGCAGCCGAGTGTGAAGCAGTTGGGATGAGAATCAGCACCTCCAAATCCGAGGCCATGGTGCTCGACCGGAAGTGTGTGTGGATAGGGAAGTCTGGGCGTCTCTGCTTAAACTGCTGCCCCCGCGACCCGGCAACGGATGAAGCGGAAGAAAATGAATGGATGGATAGATGAATGATCTGTCTCTTGCGTTTCAATGCAGATTGCAACTTTAGGTTAAAGACAAAAATATCGCAATAATAATGTTATCGAAATACTAAACACTCAAATCGAATATTGCTCTAATTTCCAATATTGTGCAGCCCTAGTCGTTAAGAGTCTCTTCTTTCTGCGGAAACTTAGACGTACAACAAATTTATAGATTCTGCATAACTTTTATCGCTACACCATTGAAAGTTTGCTTGTTGGTTCTGTGGCCGTGTGGTTCTGTAACATCACAGCCAAATAAAGGAATGCTCTAAACAAGGTACTCCGTTCTCTATCTTTAACTGAGCTTTCCCAATAATCAATAACTCTTCTGGCCCCTGGAAAAGCCATGTTCCAGCTTCTTCCCTCTGGCAGAAGATATGATTCACTGAGATGCTAACAGCTTCTTTCCATCAGCTGTTCTGAGGTTTCTGAGGTCTGTTTTCTACTTTTTAGCTTGTTTTATTGTATGTTTTGTCTGATGCACATTTTAGCAAATAAACTGAATCTGAATCTAGTTAGTAAAATATTTGTAAGCTCTCACTGGTATACTCTGTGGCAGGGTGCTGAACGTCGCTCTGCAGTGTTGGCTTATGCCCTGGGACTCCTCCAGAGCTCTGGGTTTGTCGGCCCAGTTCAGACTCAGGGGAGACGTGATGAGCATCCTTGTCTTGAGGCTCCAGTCTGTAGGGTACGCTCTGCACACAGGGGGCGCAATGGAGCCCGGGGCGATGGCAGGGGGACTCTGCGACAAACAAACAATTAGCACCCGTTTTTAACACAAGAATACGTACTCATCCATGCAAACTTGTCTGAATTTTCTGAGGTTGTGATCTGCAAAAAATGATAGAATTGGAGATAAGCTCGTCTGAAGCATTTGGAGGATACAGAGGAGGACTGGGAGAATATCATATGTTCAGTTGAAACCAAAATAGACATTTTTGGTAAAAGCTCAACTCAGCCAAAGATACCTACTGTGAAGCATGGGGTGGAAACATCATAATTAGGGAATGTGTTTTTGCAAAGGGACTATGACGACTGATCTGTGTGAAGGAAACACTGAATAAGGCCATGTATTGGCCATGAGATTTTGAATGAAAACCTCCTTCCATCAGAAAATGCATTAAAGATGAAACATGGCTGGGTCTTTCAACATGACAATAATCCAAAACAGTCTCCAGATCTCAACCCCATTCACAATCTTTGGAGGGAGTTGAAAGTCTTGTGTTGCCCAGTGACAGCCCCTAAACATTTCTATATTGAGCTGAACTTTTATTGACCAAATACTTATTTTCCAACATCATTTGCAAATAAATTCTTTAAAAATCTGACAATGACAATGGGGGATTTTCTTTTCTCTTTTTAAGTGGGAGAACCTGTTCAATTGGTGACTGACTAAAAACTTTTTTGCCCCACTGTATCTGCTGACCTTCAGGAGTGGGCTTTTAAGATCTTCCTCTTTTTCTTCAAACAGGGAGTCTTCCTCTGAAAAGTCCAGGGATTTCTAGAAAAAAAAGCAAGAAACAATGGTCATGTTTAGAGCCACATGAGTATTAGCTGTGTGTAAAAAAAAAGTCATCCAGTTCCACATGGTTTTATCAATTGCTTCAACCCGACTTTAATCTTAACGGAATTCAAGCAAGATACCTTCTGTTGTTTGTTACAAATAATACAGGTTTGACCCAACAAAAATAGTCACTCATCTCATCTCTTTGGGCTAAAAGCTGAGTCAGGGTGGTCCAAGCTGTTGCACTGTGACAAGGATTACATCGTTTTATTATTTAAATTCATTATACATTTTGATGTTTTAAAGTTATGTACTCCAGTATTAATATTTGCAAAATGAAAGTAAATCAAGTCAAATATTATCCCTTTTACATGAACTTGAATGAAGGATCAACAAGCCCGATGTGAAAAATAAATAACTTGCGTCTGAAATGGCCAATATTAAAGGAGCAATTTATGTAAAAGGTGGTACTGCAATCTCTCCCACTCGCCCTGACTCAGGTTGCCAGATATGCAGACAAATCCAGCTGGGACCATAATATCTGAATAGACAAGAGTTTTGTCAATAACAAATCTAAAACCAACACTTTTTTCCCCAATAGAAATCCTGGTTTTATTCCTTGTTTTGTCATTAATGATTTGAGAATCAAAACGAGACCTATAACCTTCACTGGTAAAGGAACCACATGTTACTTTACCAGTGAGATTAGCTAGACACTGTGAATTCTGGCAACCTGGATCACAAACTTTCTGATTGGTGAAACAGTGGAGGGCAGGACATCAAAGTGAAAACAATAACAAATTTTAGGGGCTGTAAAATGAATTTTGAAATTCTATTATCTCGGCTGAACTTATGTTATCAGTTAAATAAGTATTTGAGTATTTGGTTTATTAACGCATTTTGACAAATTAGGGCCATTTAATGATGACTTGACATGAAAATCTTACTTATTGCTACTTTAAAAAGGTATATAGTCCGGATTTTCTACTTCCGGGTGGATCATCAAGCCAGTCATCATTCTGGTGATAAGTTCTCGTCAAATACGACCAAAGAGTTTTGTCCATAAAGGGAAGAGGGCGGTTCTTTCCACAAAAAATGAGAAAATCCTATATACCTTGAAGCAGAGTTAAAAACATGAAAACAAATGTCAGACTAGATTCTCAAACTCACACAATAAAACACATGTATACCCCAGCACAAATACACACACACATATATAAATTGATCCTTTTTACCCTGCTGGGGACCGGGTTTCTCTCGCTACTTTCGGCCTCTTGCAGCCTTGCAGAAAACCCCTTTGTTGACATCTCTGCTTCTCTCTTCTCTGCCTCTTCATCGTTATAAATTATTAACTTCTTACTCGGACTGAATGTGTTTTCTATATTCGCAAAGGGATTCCTGCGTTTCACACCTCCCGAGCGGCTCTGGGAGTTAAAAAGAGGTCCAGGGGAGAAGGGTCGAAGGCACGCCGGGGAAGAGGCGCCTTGGCCCGGGTTCGCAGCTCCAGGACTCCCGCGGAAAGAGCCAGCCTCGCTTCGGGCTCGTTTCCTCCGCATTCGCATGATCTCCGTCGGGTGTTTGAAGCTGGGAGAGTAACCAGCCTGTTCAGACATGTTTAAAAGCACTAAAAACAAAGTAAAATACGTGGGAAACTTAAAAGATAAAAAGAGTAAAAAACCGCCCGTTGTTTTGAACTTCCGCAGCGCGTAATGACGTTTGACGCTGGGAGGCCCCGCCCACTTCAACAACAACCAAATTAAAGCTGCAGTACCTTTTTTATTCTTGTTTCAAATATTTTGCATACATGTGAGAAAGAGACCAGTGAGTCATTATTTGACGCTTTAAGATGGATTTGGTCCCGTCCATTCCATTTGCAATACTACATTGGGAGAGGCACATTGTTTGTATAACACAGTTCACACGGAAACTCAAGGGAGACACGTAAAAAAAATCACACAAGGCCTTGAAGACATAAATAATCACAGTACAGTAACAGAAGCACTCCCATATTATTATTTTTTATTAAAATGAATTAACTAATTTCTCCAGTGTGAGATCAATAAAGTCTATCTTAATACATGCTAAATCTGGTTAATCTAAATCAATTACAACAAAACTAAATCATATGCTCACCATCAGCTCTGAGATTGCTCTGAACCAGTCCAGGACCAGTAGAAGGTTGAAATAATTTCGTAAATGTATTATATTGACATAAACTACATGTGGATAGTCACAGTTATGAAAACCAAAAACATATATAAATTGAGTAATTCAACTTCCAGAACAAAATGTGGTCAAATTGACAGCTCTGAGAATTTTTATGTTTAAAAATACTGAAGTTAAAAGCCTTCAGTTGTATGCAAATAGAACTGTTTTTAACCTGGATCTAAAGTAGAAGCCTATACTTTTATTTTACTAAATTAGTATAAGATTATGAGGTACCATAGATGTGTAAATTTGTACATGTAAGTTATACTTTTATAGACTTGTTCTGAACTTACAATAAACACATAAGTTTTACAAATTTTTCAAATGAAAAATGAAAAGAAAATTCTCACTCCTCTCTCGCACTCATCATCCTCCCTCTGCATCCATAAGTCTTCCTGGTTCAGCTCCACCAGCGCTTCTTCATCTTTCCTCCTCTGATCTGTTGATGGTTGGGGTATTTTGGATGAACGATGAAAGTACAGAGTCCCAAACGGTTTTCCAGTCAAAGTCCTCAGGTATGTTTGGAACATTAGTCCTCCATCTCAAATCTAAGTACAATGATATAATGTATGCATGTATGTCAACATATTTCAAGAGACGCTAATTGCACTCATATTGGTCCAAGTGTAGTGTGAGTAAACTAAGACTTTGGATTTTTCTTCTCTGGAGTTTAATTTACAGAATAATTTTCATTCATTTTCAGAACTGTGTGTATAACAAAATATCATGTTAAAAAGTGGCAACTGAAGAAGCTAACTGGGTGGAATAGTTTCTTCCCCTCGGGTGCTGTGAGTTACATTTTCAGCACAATTTTGACTTGCACCAGAAGGAATTTTAACATTCAATGTGTAATAAAAAGACATTTTAATACATTTGATCTCATCATCTAATGAGTATAGCATTGCATTTTTATTTTCAACAGGCAGTACATTAAAGGAATTGAAAGACTTAAGGGCCCTTGGCCTATAGCCCCCAACCCCTTTTGCTTTGACATACCCTAGCATCCCTACTTTAACATTAGGTCATCATAGAAACAGTTTCTTACTGTATATTATTATTTAGCTATTGTGGTCCAGTTCTATACCCTCCTTGGCCCCCCCTTGTCGCCTCCTCCCTCCCTGTGTCAAGGGTGATTAATTGGTCTTTATGTAAATGTTGTTCTGCTGTTAATTTGTGGATCATTCGTCATTACCGCAGCTCATAAATCACTCATGGAGTTCAGCCGAGCGAGTGATGATTTGTTGGGGGGAATCAATGTTCGAAGACGCCAAACGCAGCATCAAAACACGGCGTAATGACAGAAATACTAAATGAGAAATGACCTCAACTCGTGAAATATTCAAGTGGCCTTAAACTCACACATATAATTAAGTAAGTGTCACAAATATGGATATTTTTAAAGGAACGTCATGTAACTTTTCAAAACACTCTGTCATTGTGTTGGCTTTAATATACACTTATGGGTTTTAATTATCAAAATACCTTAAATCTCACCACTAAACCTGGCATCGACATTGGCAGTATGTTAATATGAATGAAGCCTTTATTAGTACCACAGTGCAGAAATATAGTTTCTTCCACAGAGGAGAAATTAAGTTTAATGTCATACTTGGCATTATTCTTAGGTATTGTAGGTCTGAGAAGTTTGTAGGTAGACAATTCACAGTAGTAGTAGTGGGAACAATAGTAGCTATAATACTGTATTATTAATTTTAATAGTGATAGTGGTGGTCGCAGCAGAAAAAGTATTCGAATTAAGTCTAAATATTTGAAGAAGCTTTAATGCCATAAGTTGTCATAAGAGCAGTAAAAGTTGCTGCTGTAGTAGTGATGATGGAAGTAGCAGGAGGATCTTGGAGTTTTTCCGAGCCGGTTACGTGACTGGGTGTCAAAACCTATGCTATTTTGCCCTTATAGATCCATGGTTCTCGTGACCGGTGCAGAAAAACTATAAACAACGTCACTCCAAGATCCTCCTATAGTAGTAACGAAAGCAGCAGTATCCTGGAGAGTTTTAGTTGGTTCAGTAGACAGCTGTATAAGTTGTGGAAGGCAGAACTAGAAACTACAAAAATAGTAATTGTATTAGTATGGGTATAGTGTTAAAGTGCCAGCAGCAATAGCCCTAATAGATGTAGTGGATTTGCAGTAGAAGTAGTAATTGTAGTAGTGGTCTCGCAAACGTCTGCTAGCATTTTAGCTGCACTTTCACTGCTGGATTTTAATTGGTCGATTGAAATAAAACACGCACACATGCACACACAAGCACACAGACGCACACAAAAAGCAGCCCAACGTCTTTATAAGAATATTTATAGAAACAAAACCAAAATCAACCGTGTGAAATGTCCAAAAACAACACGTTTAAGAGCCTTAAAATGCTCCAAATATTTACTGACAAAACCAGCAAAAAATGTACATGCTACAGGGAGAAAAACATAATTATTGTGCATGGAAATGGATTGTTACAGCTTCAAGTCTGTCCTGGAAAGGAATATGATGGCTGTGAAAACATAATATTTGCATTCAATATAGGATTATTTTGAGTTGGACTTTGTCATTGGCATAAATAGCATATTCAACTGTTCATATATTTTACACATGGATCAAAATATGAGCAGAAGTTGTTGTATTGTGGTCATTTTGAGACAGCAAAAATTCCACATTACCAGTTTTTCAATTAAAGTAGAGAGACCAGGCTGTTTTGCATCACAGTAGTTCAATAAATTAGCAATATCAACGCAACAGAACCAAGAGAAATAATGCTATTTCAGTATTTCAAAGTTTGGGAAGTGGAGGAATTAGTACATTTTTGGCATCAACATCAAGTATCCACAAGACAACACAGATATTGTACAGTTTCTTTTTTCAGTCCAGTGCCGCCGCATGCTGTACATCGTCAGTGTAAAACTAAAATGATTTTCTCGGTTTCTTTTTGAGTTCTTCAAGTTGTCAAAGTTCATCCAATTCAGTAAATTATGTGTTTAACAGTGAGAACCTGGGCAAAAGATCATTTGAGCTAGAATTATCGAAAGGTTAAAGAGCAAATATGGTGTTTGTATTGGGAAATGATGTAGAAAACATAGGGATAGAATTTATATTGAGCAGTGAAACGGCTCCATCTTGTGGCAGGCTGTGTCATTGAAAACATTAGTGTCGCCAAGACTAATTTGGAGGCAATACTTTTATACCTTTTTAGTTTAAAAAAAACACAGTAGTGAGTTTGAAAATAGAGCTTTTGAAAAGAAGAGCCCGATAAATTGACCCTAAAACAACTAAAGCAACTTTACTATTAAACTATTAGAGAAAAGTGTCATTATTATCAATAACCCATAGATTGTTGTACTTTCCTTGTATGTATTCTGCAATTCTGTGTATTCAGCTTCCCTGATTTTCTCATTTGAACATAGTAAACAAATTGCATGATGAGATGTACCAGCACAAAAAGGAGCTTCCATTTCACTGTCGAATTTGAACTTTTCGAAACACATAAAGCTGTTTTGGCGCCATGTTCCATGATCATTTGCCCACTGTTCATCAGAGCTACAAAGTTCAGAATGAAATCTGGTTTTAGATCAGTTTGGTCACCCTCATGCAGTTTTAAACCCAAAAATAACGTATTATGCCTCATCTGTTTTAATTTTAGATCTTGATTATTATCCGTAAGAAATGACTGGAATGAGCAACGCTTCCATCTAGTGGTAGAAGTTAGAAATGTAATCTGAATCCTTACTTTCTTTAATGAGTGCTAAAACTGGTAAAATGCAATTTGACCAAATACATTCCCCAAAATGGATTTACATAGGGTCAACAGTGGGAAAGATTAGTGTGTTGTTAGAACCCGCACAGACAGGATCAATAGACTTTCAAAATAAGGCCTCTTAAGTCACAGGACTCATCCATTTACAAGAGACGTTCATTCACCCAAACACGGCTCCATGGCTCGTTACGCTGTCATTATGCCAAGTATTTTTCCTTGTTTTCAGTTTTATAACCTTCTTCCCTTGACCCTCCTAAAAGCAACAAGCTTCAAAACTGTTTGGGTTTATTGCTTTGGGTAAAGTGAATAGATTTTTAATGTCCATCCCTCCATTATCAGTGATTGGTGACCAGACTGCCTCTAAATACCACATAGATCTCTTTCTGCGCTTTCAAACACACACACACACACACACACACAAACACACTGCTTTAGTACGGCCTCCACACGGCTTCAGCGGCGGCCATGTTGGAAGGGGAGGAGCTGTGGCTGGACTCCACCTCCACGCCGATGCCCTCGCTCTGATTGGGCAGCGAGGGGTGCAGGAGGGCGGAGCCTGTGGAGGCGCTGGTGCAGGGGGGCAGGATCCGTGGCGGGGACCGAGAGTCTCCATTCACTGCTCGCTCTCCCCCCGCCATCATGGAGAACTGGTACGAGCCTAGACATGAGAGAGACCAGTGAGACAAGGCTATTACAGGTGAAATACAAAAAAATACTATCCACAATAGATGTAGTATGTTTTTGAATACAAGTTTGCTTAGAATGTCCATCTCTTTTTCTATAGAAATAATCATCACATCTTCTGATCAGCTTTTTTGACAGCAAAGTGAAATAGAGACCAAAAATTCAGTTCAAACCAATATATTTGTCTATATCCCTAAATCACAACAGTAGTTATTTAGGAGGACTTTTTTTGAGAGAAAGGAATCAGTTAGATGGATCTGATTGTGGTTTGAAAGTTACGTACCCCGGCTTTAATGATCTAATCCATCTCTGCTCCTTACCTGTGGAGTAGTAAAGGTGGTACGGCGAGGGGGTGGACTGGAACGGTCCATTCTGCGTCTGGTGAGGGGTGGAGGTGGAGTATGGCGGAGGAAGGTACGTGTGGTAGCGGCCGATGCCCAGGGCGCCGTTGGAGACCGTGTTGTGGGCGGGGCTGTAGGTGAATGCGGTGGGGGTAGGCGGATAGTGCACGCGTGGGTCGGAAAAGCGTGAGTCTGGGAGCGAGGGTAGCGAGGAAAATGGGCGCTCGATGGTCACGCGTGGGTCACTGAAGGCCGTGAGGTCCGGGCCTGAGGCAGAGAAGGCAATGCAGGGTTAGAGAGGCAAGAGGTCTTAGTTTAGAGCTAGTTTCTCTGTAATCTCAGGTCCAATCCACATGAAACTAAAACGGCTACAACTGCTCCTCATCTTCTTTGTCAGGGCATACCATCATATAACTATGGTCTTTCTGTCTATAGTCTCTCTCCCTATTCTCTCTCTGGTCTCTCTCTCTGGTCTCTCTCTCCGGTCTCTCTCCCTGGTCCCTCCCTGGTCTCTCTCTGGTCTCTCTCTGGTCTCTCTCTGGTCTCTCTCTGGTCTCTCTCTGGTCTCTCTCTGGTCTCTCTCTGGTCTCTCTCTGGTCTTGTTCTGCTCTTTTGCTCTGATTTCTCTCTGGGTTACCTCTGTTTTTTCTCTGGCCTCTCTCTCTTGTCACTCTCTGGTCCCTCTCTCTCTTGTATCTCTCTCTTGTATCTCTCACCGGCCTCTCTCTCTGGTCTCTCTCTCTGGTCTCTCTTTCTGGTATCTCTTGTGTCTCTCTGGTCTCTCTTATATCTCTCTCTGGTCTCTCTCTGATCATTCTCACTTGTCCCTCTCTCTTGTCTCTCTCTGGCCTCTTTCACTCTTTTCTGCCTGAAAAAACCTAAACCACAGCCCTAAACACATGAGTACGCCCTCGCTCATCACATGTCGGTGGCCTTTACCGGAGAGCCGCGAGGAGAGCTCCAGGGAGGACCGTCCCGGCGACAGGGGGTTGGCTGAGTGCACCGTGGAGGAAGTGATCTGTCCCAGGTACGGATACTGATCATAGGACCAGGAGGGAGAGGACTGCATCTGCCGTGGGTCTGGGGACAGAATACACACATTGATTTTATTAGATATGCATTTAAAAACATCAACCGGCCATACAGACGATGATTTATAACTAGTGGAAAGAAGAGCCAATCAGAATCCATTATTTAGGACAGGAGATAGAAAGATACAGTAGTCATTTTGCATTATTCTGGTGGTCATGAGAAAAACGAGGTGATCATATATAGGGTAACTAAAATACTTTATAAAACTTTTCATATTTCTTCATATTTTTGTTATACTACTTTATTACTGCACTACATTTAGTTCAGTAATAATTGATATCCATCCATCCATCCATTTTCTTCCGCTTCATCCGTTGCCGGGTCGCGGGGGCAGCAGTCTAAGCAGAGACGCCCAGACTTCCCTATCCACACACACCTCCTCCAGCTCGTCCGGGGGGACTCCAAGGCGTTCCCAGGCCAGCTGAGAGACATAGTCCCTCCAGCGTGTCCTGGGTCTTCCCCGGGGCCTCCTCCCGGTGGGACATGCCCGGAACACCTCCCCAGGGAGGCGTCCAGGAGGCATCCGGAACAGATGCCCGAGCCACCTCAACTGGTTCCTCTCGACGTGGAGTAGCAGCGGTTCTACTCCGAGCTCCTCCCGTGTGACTGAGCTCCTCACCCTATCTCTAAGGGAGCGCCCAGCCACTCTGCGGAGGAAGCTCATTTCGACCGCTTGTATCCGTGATCTTGTTCTTTCGGTCATTACCCAAAGCTCATGACCATAGGTGAGGGAGGGGACGAAGATTGACCGGTAAATTGAGAGCTTTGCCTTTCGGCTCAGCTCCCTCTTTACCACAACGCCTCACAATCTCACATCCTTCCCTCACTCGTGAACAAGACCCCGAGATACTTGAACTCCTCCACTCCTGAACTGAATTATTTATTTTAATGTTACTTCACATTTCCAATACTTGGTTCTTGCAAAACATATTATTTTACTGATAAAATAGATACATCCTAAAACTAGTCCTGTTACTTTTCCACTGACAAATAAAGATTTCTTGAATTTTTTATTTCTTTTTCATAAAACGGTTTTTACAAGCCAAAAACATGATCTTAACTCAAATGATCATTGATTATTAATACTATTTATTTAAACTTTTCTAGTTTATGCAAGTTGTCATGATTCCTTTTAAGACCACTAGGGGGCAGTAAATCTACAACTTAATCAGAATCAGAATCCAACGTTTTATTGCCAGGTGATTAACAAATCCAAATTAGGGAAATTGCTTTGCCTCTAGGTGCAAACAATTGAAGAGGTAAAAATAGAGCAAGGTATGCATAACAATAATTATCTTAAATCAGTATCTCCACTTTCCCTTTGTTTAATACATAAACAGACAATATGCAATTTTAATAAGATCTGTCTGTTGTGCACATTTATTGTGTTATGTAAGTTTTGATTTAAATAATAAGTTGTCCAAAATACACAACTACAACAGGACATAGATTCAAAATATTGTAATCAGTCATCTTGAAATATGTACATTTGCCTCTGAGTTGCAGCTGTGGTCGCTATCTTGTATTTTTCCTAAATATTACATGTTGTGTGTCTCGACAGAAAGATGCTTTAGAAAGTTACATTTGAACAAATCAGACCACACCATGCTGTCTTCATGTCATTAGACAACTGCAACTTATGTAAAAAAAACCTTTGGCTTACCCTTAACAAAACCCTGTGAGTCACTATTTGACTCTTTGGGCTGAGAGTTGATCTAAATCCATACATGCATTTGAAAAACATATACTGTACGTTTGGAAGCATAACGTGGAGTAAACTGTTTTGAAAGTTCACTCTATTAGAAAGATTTTAATACATAGTTCACCCTTTGTGGTTTGAAAGTTACCACAGCTTTTAGTATAAAAACTGAATATTGTTTTCTTGAATCAATCTTTCTAGAATACTTTTTTGCTGTGTAGTAAATGCATTTTTTTGCCAGGAAAAGCTCTCACTCAAAATAATTCCACTACTATAGACCAGAAAGAGACGAGGGAGAGAGACCAGAGAGAGAGCCCTGAGAGAGACAGAGAGGACCAGAGAGAGACAAGATAGACCAGAGAGAGACCAGAGAGAGACAAGGGAGATAAGAGAGAGACCAGAGAGAGACCAGAGAAAGACCAGAGAGACACCAGTGAGGGAGACCAAAGAGAGACCAGAAAGAGACCAGTGAGAGAGACCAGAGACCAAAAACCAGCGAGAGACACCAGAGACACAACAGAGAGAGACCAGAGAGAGAACAGTAAGAGAGACCAGTGAGAGAGACCAGAGAGAGACTAGAGACCAAAAACCAGATAGAGAGAACAGACACCAGAGAGAGAGAGACCAGCGAGAGAACACCTCATATCACAGACCTGTCAATTTTATTTTCCGAATCAAGAATATGACTGGTTCTAACAACAGCTAAATAAATGACTAGGGAAAACCACAGAGAGAGAGAGGTCCAAAGCTGTGAAAAGTCAATTTTGTGAGATATTTCCCTGTATAATTATCAACAAAAACTCCCAGAGACCCCACAGTGGCGCGGGGCTGTTGTCATGCAGTCGAGAGGAAGTGATTAGCAGCGAGTGGGCGACTGGATGAATGGATTTCTCCACAGTGCAATAAAGCGCAGACGCAGTTAAACAACGCTCTTTTTCAAGTCCAGGCCAAACACCAAGCATGGACCAGGGCCAAGAGCCGCCCAAGCATACCCAGACACAGAGAGATCAGGCGGGGTAAGCCGAGAGAACAGCCCGGCATGGAACTGGAGAGTTGGGTTGGGTAAAGATCTAATTATGGATTGTCGATGAGCGGAGAAAATAATGGGATTTAAATATACCAGATATGAAAGATGTTACCAGACAATAGACTCTTTTGATTTCTTAGCGGGAATAAAAAATCTCATTATTTGTATATCTCAGCGTGAGAATCATTTGTTTTATTGATCATATTTTTTGAGTCACTTCCTGCCAGGCGCCTTTCACTTCCTCTTCGCTGCCCTTTACCAACATGGCCACTCACGTGAGCCCTTCCAGATCGTCGTCACTACAGCCCCAAAAGCAGAAGAGGAACCGGGGCCCATCCGGAGCCTTGCGGGACCACAGAGACCGCACAGACCCGAGACCCAAGCCACATGAAGGGAAGTGAGAGAGGCTGTCGGCAGGATTTACAATCAAACTAGTGCTACTTCTGCTTCAAAGCCATTTACAAAGACGTTAGCAAAAAACAAAACCAGACCACTACAAGCTCTAATTCTTGAATAACTATTGCTCCACTAGTGGTACTACAACTACTACTCCTGTTACTGCTGGTACTACTTATCCAGCTACTACTTCTACCACTACTTATCCTGCTACTACTACTACTACTACTACAACTGTAGTTACTGCTACTGCAAATACTGCTTCCATTGCTACTACAACTACTAAGACTTATTATGAGTCACTATTTGGCCCTGTGGGACTGGGAGCTGAGTGAAGGTGTTTCTTTACAAAACTAGCGATAGAAGCTAATTGTTTTGAGAGCGAAGAGCTTTTGTTGTTTGAAGGCTCTGTACCCCAGTCCCTGTTCCACCTGTTTCTCAGTGATTGAATACCTGATGTGATCTGTGAGTGCGTGGGGCTGGAGAAGGAGGCTGCGTTCAGGGCTGCGTTCTGCCTGTTGGAGGCTTGCTGGTGGTGATAATGATGATGGTGGTGATGATGAGGAGGGGTGACTCTCATTGAACTGCGGCGTAACTGCTCCAGCTCCGTCAGACGCTCCGAGAACGCCAGTGTCCCGGGCTTCACCTCATCCAGCTTCTGCCGGTGCCCTACAAGACAGGACACACTATTACTACTTCATAATTGTGTGTTTGTCTCCGCACTTGACCCGGCCCTAAACACTCATGTGGAAAATCTGCTGGACTCTTGTTTGTGAAAAGGTATTCTCTTTTGTATCAACTGAAACTCCGAAAGCGTATTTTCTGGTCACAACTGTCCTTGGAGTTGGGGCGACTCATGAAAGGCTGACGATATGGAATCTGTGGACACTCTGGACTACTACGAGTGTGACATCACCATTGATTATTTTGAACACAAGCTAGTTGGAGCATTTCTTCCAACTGGGTTAGCTTTGTGGTGTAACAGGGACAGACGTGTTGCTAATACGGTTGCTAAGGCAAGCTGGATTTTCACCGGCTCCATCTAATTGATCAATCCGTATATGGCTCACAGTTGGATTTTCAATATCAACACTAGGATTACAGAGAACGCTAAAGCTGAGTTGAACAAGTGAGCATTCTGACCAATCCAAGCTGACTGTAGAGGGCAGCACTGAGCCATTAGTCTTTAGAAGGAGACGATGACGACAATCGCATGCACAGACTAGAACAGTCGAGAACGAGCAGAGTTTGTGACCCCTAAAGCGTGGATTTATAGAAAACCCATGGTAGTTCAAAATAAAAAAAGTTCAAGATGACAAAGGACAACACTAAAATCCTCACAAATCCTAACCTTTGTGAAAGCCGTCGGTTCCCTGTGAGCTGTGGACGTGCCGCTTCAGTTAACAATAAGGTCACTGAGGAAATTTCCTGTGTAGCCCTGGTGAATTAAGACTGCAGTTTCTTCTTGTGATCCAACACCATGCTGGAGACTGGCTTAAGCTAGCAATGCAATATCCAGATAACATGGCTTTTTCACACTCAAAAGTTGATCGCCCCCCCAGCAGTACATTATGGTGATGGATGTGGAAGAAGCTGTTTTCTATCACTCCATCTGTGAATCAGTGTATATAAGGACATCCATCCATCCATTTTCTTCCCCTTAATCCATTTCAGTCAGAGCTGCACCCAGTACACTTAGCACCAGCCCCTCATTGATCCTCCTGCAGGAGCTGAGATCTTTCAGCGGGGGCTTCAGGCAAAGTGGGGTTAGGTGTCTTGCCCAAGGACACAACGACAGCAGACATCAGTGGGAGTCAATAAGGACAGTCGCACTATATCAACTGACTTAGATGTGTATTAAAGCCTTCATAACATAAACAGGTCATTTCAAACCACATCATACATAAAAAAAGAGTGAACCCTCTAGGCGGCACTGCTTAAAGTGGTCGATTTGGTTTAAACATTCCAGTATGAGTATGTTGATCCAGTACAAAAAATTACAAATAGTGTGACTCTGTTGGACAATGTGAGAGTGTAGTCCTACATCAAGCACAAACTTTGGACCCTTTGAACCCTAATTCATGAAACACCTCAAGACGTGTCACCTGGGGGAATATGAATTCTTCAACTCTACAGCCAAAGGCCTGCTAAACATTATTCCCATCATCTTTTGATTTATTAATCATTTACACTGTTGATTTAATACTTTCCTAATCAGTCAGTTTGGTACAATGTGAGTTTTGTTTTTGGATTTGTCAAACAAACAAAAAACGGCAACAAAAACATTTCAAGAAAATTATAAAATCTACAACGGCCGCCAACATCATTGTCAATTTAAACCCCACATAAACTTTGAGCCATCCTTTATGTGTCTTTCTGTTAAAGAAATCCTCTATCATATCAGTTTTATGTTATAGCTCTTTGAGATGTCAAAATCGATGCCCAAAGAGTGTTTGTAAAGCCTGGTGTTTTGGATGCATCTACATGAAAGCGGTCGCACAGATGAGGGAGGGAGTCAGCTGTTGCAGAAGCATCACTCGTCCCAAACGCCCACAGGAGGAAGTGCAGAAACCCCAGAGTGGGCCAGCTTTGAAGTCTAGCCAAAAGACATCAGACTACACATGTATGCGGACCACCACGGCTACATGGGAGAGCCCCGAGGAAAACTACTTTTGTGGCCTTCTAAAGAATCTGGGTATTTATCTAAGAGCTGTACAAATACAAACATCTACTGTATATAAGCTATGTGTGAAATAAAAGTCCAATTCAGCTCAATAATTAGGAACATATGTGGAATTGCATGCTTGTAATGTCCTGCATTGGAGGCTTAAGTACTCCAAAAAATGATGGTTCAGCTTCCACCAATCCCTGCCCAGTTCTTTGTGACATGAAAAACCGTTCAGACGTGTGAAACAACAACTGCTTTGATTGATGCAAAAGTTCAAGTCAATGTTTGAGTGATTATGCCGAATGTGTAGCACAGAGAACCAAATTGTGTGTACGTTTTATACGGAATATCATAAAAAGTATCACATATCTCCTGTTTATACAAATAATGTGTAGTAATAGAAACAGTTAGCAGCAGCAGCAGCAGCAGTAGTAGTAGTAGTAGTAGTAGTAGCCGTAGTAGTAGCAGCAGTAGCAGGAGTAGTAATACCAGCATCAGCAGCCCTATGAGTAGTATACTTTTTCCTGATTTGATGATTATCCACATATTCAAACTTCAACCTTTTAACTATTTTGTTTTTTTAAGCTATCTATAACAAAGGAATGACCCTAGCAAAGACCGACCACATAAAAACCAGGTTCCAGACAGGACTTCTGAGGTCTGGAACAACACGACCCTGCGTTTATAGACAGTCATAGAAGCAGGCAGCACCAATACTTTCCAATCAGACATGAGATTTCAATCCTGTTATTCAGTTGTGAGAATATAATTACCGCTTGTTGTGACCAGACTAATATGAGCTGGTACTTAGCAGCAGGTTTAAAGGGGAGCTGCCCAGACTGAGCGGCAGCATGTTAACACTGTCTCTATGGCTTTAGGCTTATGTCATCGCACACATATACTGTGCAGTACACCGGCTCCTGCTACTACTACTACTGTACCACACCGGTATTTTTAACTGCGCTGTCTCCACCGGCAGATATAGAAGCAACCGGAGATATGGCTGAGCACCGATACTTCACACATGCAAACTCAGAAAATAGAATTAAATGGCTTTGATAGATGTGTGGTTTAATATTACCAGTGACAGCAATAAGGTAATGGTTTTGTGCTGAGGCCCTGTTTCCACCAGCCCTACTCTACTCTACTCTACGTTATTCTACTTTTCTCTACTTTACTCTAGTCTCCTCGGATCTACTCTACTCTACTTGGTTCTACTCTACTCTCCTCGGTTCTACTCAACTCCAATATGCTCTACTCTACTCAGATTTGCTCTACTCCAATCTACTCTACTTAACCCTACTCTACTCTTCTCCGATTGAGAGCATTTTCACTTAAGCGGTACCACGTTCTTTTTTAGTACCAGCTTGGCCCTGGTCTTATCCAGGCCTCATTCAGCCTATCAGCTCTCAGCCCAAAACTTCAACAGCATGATGAAGGCAGCATGTATTGGTCTGATTTGTTCTCAATTAGGTACCCCAGCTTTAAGATACATTTCCCAAATTAAAGCATGTTTGTGTCATTATGGACATAAACTACTGCAGTCTTTGCAATCTGCCAAGTGTGATTTGAACTTATTCTTGCAGCCCTTCTGTCCAGCTCTGGTATATGTGTGAAGGACTGTGTGTTAAGATTCAGTTCCACTTACGTCTGGGCTCGCGAGGGCCGTCCACTGTGATCTTGATGGCTCTTTGATACGTGGCGACTTGAGGAGGATTTGTAAAAACTGTGATGGTCAGAGTGAAGCTTTTACCTGCGAGAAACAGAGTCACATTACTGCTATTAGCAAGTGGACGTGTCATAGGCTATTATTACGGCAGATGTAAGAGCAAGCATCATGTCTTCATTGTTACTATGCCACCATCTAAAAACCACCCCATTGTTTTTATTAGCTCAATGTGATTGGCACTTCCTGGTTATATTTGATATTACAGCCGGCTGCCAGCCAATGATAATCTAGTGTTTCATTAAGCCACTGTATTCTCCAGAATAGCAGCAGTTAGATACCAGTGTAAATGCAAATGAGAGACTCTTTTATCACCAGTTTAACGGACTGTTTTATGTGACAGTACCAAGATGGAGGACAGTGGACAAGTTTACTGTTTACTGAGTGACCACCAAACTTGAACTTTTACTGTAGAAGATGAGTAGCAGTAGTAGTAATAGTAGTAATAGCAGTAGCAGTAGTAGTAGTTGTAGCAGCACTAAAAGCAGTAGCAGTAGTAGTTAGAAGCAGTAGCAGTAGTAGTTAGAAGCAGTAGTAGCAGCAGCTGTAGTAGTAGTAGCAGCGGCTGTAGTAGTAGTAGTAGTAGTAGTAGTAGTAGTAGTAGTAGTAGTAGTAGCAGTAGCTGTAGTAGTAGTAGCAGTAGTAGTAGCAGTAAAATTAGTAGCAGACCAGATAACACTTATATAAAGATAATCACAACTTTGTGATCAATTTAGCTTATGTTTTGATATTCCAAACTCTGCATTAGACATCTGAGTATTTATCTAAAACGATGTAATTTGTGTCTGATCAGGTCATTTACATTCTGGATCAGATTATCTGCTCTCAAAGATGAAACATTACACATTTTTCTTAAGTATGTTATTGTAATGTTACTAAAGCACTCCATACTTCCCCAGCTTCAGTGCTGTAGCTGCCAGTTCCAGTCACAAAGATGCATCTCTAGATTGGACCCTGTTTGGTCTACAGCAGGGGGACTATCTCAGATCTGGGTCTAAACCCTTTTGGTGGTCTGGTGTGGATCGTGTCTGGACCCGTTGGGTGTTTTGAACGTCACTTTATTTAAACAGCGAGTCAAAGAGGACAGAGATGGTGGATAAAGACAAAATAATGAAGTGTTGTTTTGAAAGAGGAACTGACAGCGCGTGTACACAAAGATATCTGACAAGGGACGGACCACAAAACAGGAGACAGAATTTAGTTTCAATCTCCTTTAGCAATTTAGTTTTAACCCAGAGGACGTCCAATACAAAAAACTCCTACCAGTTATTTTGCCTGGGCTTACGGCAGGCAAAAAAAACGGTTGCTACAAGGTGGAATTCCCATAATTTTCTGTCCAGCCAGTGGATCTTGTCGCTTGTTGACATATTTGGAGCTCTCCACAGCCTGATCATATGGCTCTAAAGAAGTCACCATTGCTATGTTGGTCACTTCCAGTGAACTCATTACGTTTTTGCATATTTTTGTACATATAATTGGCATTGACCATACATGGATCACAAACACGGTTGGAAATATGTGTCTGAATGTGTTGCTTTTATGACTACTCTGAAGTCACTGATGAAATACATTATTCTCAATGACACTATTGTAGTTTTACAAAAGAAACATGGGGACTCTAAAGAATAGAAAAACTATGGCTGGGTTTGTATTCCACTCTTTCAAAGCCACTGCTTTATCCAAACAATTCCATTTGAGGTAATAGATTATTTTGACCACAATATCTCTGTATACCAAACCACTGTTACCACAGGTCTCTTTGTAAAAAGCCACATCCAACATCAGTGGTGAGAAAGCAGAAGGCTGACTAACTATGACCAACTTATAAAGCATTTCCTCTCCTCTATTCTCTACTCTCCTCTTCTTTCTCTAGACCACTGTCTGACCGTAACCACCAAACCACATAGGCACTTTATGTATGGTCAGTGTGGTTAAAGGCCACTGAAAGGAACAGAACAATATTGCATTACATTAGTGAGAGATGTAAAAATGTGTTGTTTTCAAGCCATTTTTAAAACTGCTTGAATTCTGGTGTATGTATACAGGTTTTGACAAGAAATAACATTTGCTGTAGTGGTAGACTGCTGTATTAGCATTTATAGAAATACATTCTCATATTTGAACAGTATTATTTTAACAGTATGTAACTTGCTGTAGTGTACCTTTTTGGATGTATGTAGTTTATATGACTGAAAACTATAGCAGGATGAGAAACTTACTAGTACTAGTACTTATATAGTATTTTTGAAGGTCTTACGAGTATCTAGACATATGTATCTACTGTACCTATCTATCTATCTATAGACAGATACATATGTATAGATACATATAAGACAATTTAAAATATATATTTATTATTTATCTTAGTGCTAATACCATTGATATTAGCAGTATTCAAAGCAGTAGCAGTAGTTATAATAGCAGTAACAGTAGTACTGTAGTAGCAGTAGCAGTAGCAGTAGTAGTAGCAGTAGCAGTAGTAGTAACAATAGAAGTAAGTAGTAGTAGCAGTAGCAGTAACAGTAGTGGTAGTAGTAGTAGTAACAGTAGTAGTAGCAGTAGCAGTAACAGTAGTAGTAGTAGTAGTAGTAGTAGCAGTAGCAGTAGCAGTAGTAGTAGTAGTAGTAGTAGTAGTAGTAGCAGTAGTAGTAGTAACAGTAGTAGTAGCAGTAGTAGTAACAATAGTAGCAGTAGCAGTAGTAGTAGTAGTAACAGTAGTAGTAGCAGTAGTAGCAGTAGTAGTAGCAGTAGCAGTAGCAGTAGTAGTACCAGTAGTAGTAGCAGTAACAGTAGCAGTAGCAGTAGCAGTAGTAGTAGTAGTAGCAGTAGTAGTAGCAGTAACAGTAGCAGTAGCAGTAGCAGTAGTAGTAGTAGTAACAGTAGCAGTAGTAGTAGCAGTAGTAGTAGTAGCAGTAGTAGCAGTAGTAGTAGTAGTAGCAGTAGTAGTAGCAGTAACAGTAGTAGTAGCAGTAGCAGTAGTAGCAGTAGTAGTAGTAGTAGTAGCAGTAGTAGTAGCAGTAGTAGCAGTAGTAGCAGCAGTAACAGTAGCAGTAGCAGTAGCAGTAGTAGTAACAGTACAGTAGCAGTAGTAGTAGCAGTAGTAGTAGTAGCAGTAGTAGCAGTGGTAGTAGTAGCAGTAGTAGTAGTAGTAGTAGCAGTAGTAGTAGTAGCAGTAGTAGCAGTGGTAGTAGTAGCAGTAGTAGTAGTAGTAGAAGCAGTAGTAGTAGTAGCAGTAGTAGCAGCAGTAGTAGCAGCCATCCCATATCATATGAGTGGCACATTTGCCTACAGTGTACAGTTTGCTCTCGTCTGTTAAACAGAACTCAAACGACGCAGTACGAGGAAGTAACAAACTAAGACTGTTTTTATTCATGAGGACTTCCCCAAATTAAACACTCCTCGTTCAAACCACAGCAGCAAAAGTCAGACTGGGAGCCATCACCGACTCCACCAGGCTAAGTTAGATAGCCTGGTGGAGGCGAGTCAACCAGATAGAATTTCAGGTTTTGAGAAATAAAACATTAGTGATAGAGTTTTATTGACCATATCTATACTACTGCAACTACTACGCACGTGTTTTTTGACGTGTGTCGACCTGAGTCAACATTGGTACAGGTTGGCGTGTTGTTCAGACCTGTGTCAGCTTTTAATCATGCAGAGTAAATTAAGGTGTCAAACTAAAAGGCTCAAGAAAAACTTTGAAATTTAATGAAAAAGTGTTCTAAAGTCACAGTGCAGCCGATCAGAGAGAAACCAGAGAGAGAGATCAGAGAAAGACCAGAGAGAGAGACCAGAGAAAGAAAGAGACCAGGGGTAAATATAAACATTTTGAAACATATTTTTAACATATTTTTTTAGCGCACTTGCCACAGCCCAAACTCTGACTGTAAGAGCCTCACTCACCCAAACACAGCTCCACGGCTCGTAACGCTGTCCCATATGTGAAGTTTATTAACCTTCTTCCCCTGACCCACATTTAAGCAAAAATGTTAGCGGTTTTGCTGTTCCTTGTAGTTACCTCGCCCGCTCCGTCCGACGAATCTCAAATCGTTGAATCGAGCCACTTGTCCCTTGATGGCTGCCGTAGCGTTCCGGAGCTCAGCCGAGTAGTTTTCATCGTTTCCCGCCATCACTGTGACCAAAGTCCCGTCTGGTATGTCTCCCAAAGCGATGACCTGTCAACCAACACGGATCAGTTTTGGCTTTAGGGCAAAAACAAGGACACAAATGAGACCAAATCATATTTTTACCCTTGTTTTCATTTTGTATTTCTTAGTTTTTCTCTACATGTTTAGCCTTATATGGACTTCATGATCTTTCAGCCCTCCATGTGTATTTATATGTACTTTGATGTATTTTGGTATTTAATTTTAGTCTGTAGTTTCTGTAGTTTCGTGAAAATATAAGGTGCATTATAAATATTAGTATTACATGTATTGGTTTCAAGAATAGATTTTCCGTGTCCAAACACAAGAGCCAAGAATTCAACCAAGCTTTTTCCCAAACCAAACTGCCAAACATTTTTAGGGAGTGTAAATTAAGTTTTGCAGGAATTTCCCTGTTTTTTCGCAAATGCACAGTATGAATATTGGCTACAAAAGGATTATTCAAACTTTTAGGCAAAACATTTCAACAGACCGTTGAAATGTTGGCTATTCCATTAGTTCAAGCTGAGGTAATGTAGTTGCAGTTTCTATCATCTAAACAAATACAAAAAAACTACTATTACTTCATGGCAAAAAGATTAAAGCTCTGATACCTAAGTTTCACTGAAATGAATAGACCAATATTGCAGTATAGAAGTGAGAGGTAAAAACGTATTATTTTCAAGCCATTTTAAAAACAGCTTGAATTCTGTTGTATTTATTATACAGGTTTTGCTATAGTGGTAGACTGCTGTATTAACTACAAACCACAAACAATGGAACGATATCATAAAATCCATGTCTCTACTCCATTTAGTTTGATAGTTTGCCTCTATCACTAGTTTTATGTATTTTCGGCCTCTTTCACATCATTAGATCAGCGTTTACATACAGAAAAGTGAAAAAAAAAGAGCACCACCCTCAGCCCAAAGTGTCAAAAAGTGCCTCGCTTATTTTTACACAAAAGATAACATTTTAACTATTAAGATGAAGACAGCATGAGGTGGCCTGCTTGTCGTTACTTCTGTGTGAATTGGCGGGGTATTCCGTTACTGACGTGGTTCCTTGTGGATTGGCTTTTAACATACTACAATATAGAAACAAAACGAAAATGGGGTTGAATTCAAATGAGAGTCTGTGTCTGTACTTGCAGATAACACAGGCCTCCTCTCTAGCGCTGCATCACTTGTCTGTTATAAGTGGCAAGCTGCAGCCTTCGTAGCGTTTGATAATGCGCCCTACACACTTATGTTAGTGGATGTTAATGCACAAAACTCAATAGATCAATGCGTTTGTGGCTAAAAGCTGCATTTGGTCTCAAAGTGCGCTGGAAGTGTCGTCGTCCACAGCAGAAGAGGGAGAGACCGGGATCAACACATTATCACCTCCTGAACGCGGACATGGGTCTATCATTTTGATGTGGAATTGTTGCTAATATTGCTAATTGGGTTATATATTACATGTCGTTTCTCGCTCTCAAAAAGATTTGTTTCAATCACTAGTTTTCATGTGTTTTTGGCCCCTGTCAAATCTTTAGATACACTTTTTTTTTATTATTATTTACCAAATATGTGTTCACACAATAATCTCTCTGTTGATTGAATTATTTATGGAAAAATAGGTAACCCAGCTTTAAATCAATATATTTTGGTGACAAAATATATAAATAGATATAGAGTAAAATGGATTATGCTGGTAACAAACACAAAAAAGACTACTGGCGATTATGCTGTAACAGGACAATGCTAACATGCTAATGGGAAAGAATACAATCCAGATAATGATAGAAAAATCAATGCTTTTCCCCATATGTATCCACATGTACAGTAGTTACAACCTTTACGAGGAATAGCAAAAATGTAACTTAATAATTTAAAAAAAAACCTTTTATTGTATTTTCTGACCTTAAAAGCGATGGGCAGGGTCTTGTTGCATCTCCAGTGCGTGGGCAGAACGGAGCAGAGGAAGTTTGGGCTGTCCGTCTTCACCAGCTCCCCAGAGTGGTCCGAGATCACCTGGGAAAAACCATCCACAACTATTACTACTACTACTACTACTTCTTCTGCTACTACAGCTACTACCACTATTATTATCACAATATTTTTCCTTTGACCAGTAGATGTTTTCAAAGTCTCTCACTCAACAAACTTTGGATAAATTGGAAGCAGTTTTAAACCAGAGAAGGGTCAGTGCCAGTCTAAACGTATGCTATAGCCAAGTAACAGTGTAGTACTAGTAAGTAAGTAAGTTAGTAAGTAAGTTATTATTTATATACCGCCTTTTCACTGCAGATCTGAGTCTCAAAGCGGTTTACAATTGTTAATTTTGGGCATTTGTCTCTCACTCCACACAGAGATGGGAGCGGGGCCGGGGACTACTTCTACTAGTAGTAGAAGTAGTAGTAGTAACCGCAGCAGTAGTAACAGTAGTAGTACCAGTGGTAGTACTAGTATTCTTACCTGCAGTACTCCTCGGCCCGCCATGCTGAACTTGGTGACTTGTGCGTTCCCTCCTCCAGGCTCCTGCGCCCCGAGAGGCAGCGCTTCGGTCATCTTTCCCCCAGATGAGAGCGTGGTGGAGGGGGGAGTGTAGCGGCGCCCGGGGGCTGGGTCTGCACCAACAAACAACACATTCAATAACACAAAAAGGCACCGGTATTACAGCAAAAACATACAAATCAGAGGAAATTTCAAAAACATAAATGTCGATTATTGTGAAACTGAAATCTGTAAGAATAAGAATGAGAATGTTGAGTGGCGTAACAGTGGTTTTTACTTTATTTTCACTTCAAAAACTTAACAATTGAGAAAAACTGTTTGGTCCATAACGGCTCAAGGAGATAAATCTAAACATCGGCTGGAACTCGTGCTTAAGATATTGTTTATGACCTTTTATATATTTTATAACTGATCATTTTGTTTTCGATGTTATCACTGATGAAAAAATTATATGTCTTTGAGAACATAATATTGTGTTGCATTAATAATAACAATTCTTAAGGAATTCTTGGAAATGTGTTTGCTAATTTAATGCTAATATTGCCATGTCAAGAGCTAAACTTTTTTTTTTACTAACTGGATAATAATTCAGAAGTATTGGGTTGAATCACTGTCACAAATTACAAAACACTGATGCTTAAAAATAGACTTCTAAAATCAAACCACACTGCGTAAAAAACATGTATTACAAGTTCTACATTTTTTTTATATTTTACTCATAAATGCGTCAACAGCTTGTCTAAGTTTGATCCCATTTCAAACCAGTCATTGACTTGAATTGTCGTCATAATAAATATAAAATATTACTGGTAACTGGATATTTCCTATACAACTAAAAAGCATGTAATAAAATACAGGTTTAATATTAGTTTTGGGCATGAACTTGGATGTTTTTTTTACTGATGGAAAAATTCATGTTAGGCAGTGGATTACTAGAACTATGACACATGTATTACTCAGTGCGAGGCAAATACCAACGCGAGAAGTCAGTGGTTCACAAAAACTATAATAAGGTTTTCAAAATATATGTGTAATTTTGGAGCGATTTGGTAAAAAGAGATTTAAGATTTCATGTTTTTGATAATAACTGGAGCGAAGCCGTGTTTGGTGGAGTAGACAGGACCATATCACACGTCCGAATGAATAGAATAATTGACACTATGGCAAAAACATTATGATTAAAACATGGCTATTGTTAAAATTCCGCCATAAATATATATATTACTATTATATATTTTGAAGATCATTTACTGAAGATAAATTAATAATATTCTTTACCCAAAATGTATGTAAATTTCAAAAGAAAATGGTGAAGACCTACTAGCGTTTCCTTTTATAAATGCCACATTAGAAAAATTCAAGGCACCTTTTTTGTTCATAATCTAATATGTGTCTTACTAAATATAACAGTAATAACTTTGATATTGTCCACTCTTAAATCTATTAGGTTTAATACAGTTACAACCATATTGACTTCTGTCTGAATAAGTTAGAATTGCTTTTAGAGGAAAACATTTTGTCATGTAATATAAGATAAACTCTTATTGATCCAGGAGCGGTTCACAATGTCCAAGTTTGCAATAATAATAATATGATCCTCGTGCATTGTCCTCGCTGTCAGAAAGCCAAGCCACATTCTGACCACAGCCTAACCAAAGCCTGACCGACTTTTACAGAAGTTTTGATCCGGGAATCCCACCCACTTTTCACAAAGCGACCACAAAATCAGGAAGAGGAGAGCCTTTCAACACAAGCAACTAATTTAACAATATTACAGCGACACACGTGCTCCCATTGCAGCTTTTGGATTAGACTGGACTTAAAAATAATGCTGAAAAAAATATCATAGTGATGATTCTCAATGCTGTATTTTTAGTGTGTATCAGATAGTCGATCCATTGTAACGGAATCCGCCATAAGAGCCGAGAGAGCAGCTTGCATTGAAGACTCATTGTCAATCAATTTGTGTCATAATTACGGATACAGTCTGAACATACATGAGCTTTGTCTACAATGGAAATGCAGTATAAGCTTATGATAATAAAAATAGCAAACATGGACTAATAGACTACAGCTACATTCCAGCAATTAAGATTTTAGCAAAAACTGAAAGTGATAAGAGCGTGATTGTAAAACTTTAAAAAAGTATTTTAGGATTAGGTCACAAATTGATTAATTGCAATAAAGTCAGGTCTCTTATATTAGTCTATTAAAATGTCCTTATTTAGCCAACGTTACAGGACACATACATGTTTCTCATTACTATCATTATTATTATTATTAATATTACTAATAACAAAATCTATTTCTATGCAATTGAGTGAGACCGGGTTCGTTTCAAGTATGGCTTTGTTCCGTCATGCGTAAAAAGCGTGCCATCTCCAATCCTGTTTCTAAATTGCTTATCTTCAACATTGGTTCTAATCACTTAAACTTAAACAATTGAATACAACGGGTTTAATGACAAGCTGTAATGAAAAAAAAAAACGTTAACAAAGGCAGCTTTAAACGTCCTCCAACTCTGAGTTTTCTCCTTGTTAGTAATTGTGTCACGTTTGCAATTGAAATGAAATTGAATTGAGTGTCTCGCATGTGTTTAACAGGTGCTCGAGGAGATAGATGAACATAAAATAATTACAATCAAGAAATAAAAAGTTAGTACCGTATTTCGCGTCCCACAGAAACACCATTTGTGCGTAATAGTCGTCCTCTCCGCGCGTCTGTTTCCCCTCAGTTCAAAAAGCCCCACAACTTGTTCCTTCAGGGATACACCTTTGCTTTTTACTTCTTGTTTTGCTGAAATGTTTTGTAATACCACTTTACAAAGACCAAGCAGCGACCCACGTTGACTTTTACGCGCTCCAAACTCCGACCTCTTTAGCTTCCCTCTCCAAAACGCGTAAAAACACCAGGAAAACTCAATGAAAATCGACTTCCATGTCCAAAACGGAGTATGTTATATTTGCAGCGCTCGCCTCAGTGGCTGCCTCGCTCGTACAGTCCAAACAGCGTGTGTCAGAGAGGACTGCCTTTTACCGGTAACTGTCCCGTGTTCGCGTGTCATCCAGCGATTTAAGCCAATCCGAAGCTCAGCGCGAGGTAACAGCGCCAGGGGAGGGACCAATCAGGGGCAGGTCCGTGCGAGAAGGGGCGGGGATTAGCGGAGAATGGGGGAAAAGAGGTTCAAAACAGGCTGAAATGCAAGAACTGGCGAAAATCTACTACCTACGGGGGTTTTTTAAAAAAAAAAAGTGTTTTGGGGATTGCACACGGTCTTTATGAACACTCATTTATTTATCTATGTCTATCTGTCTACTCCGTCAATTGTCTATTTACAGTACTAGGACCCCTCACAAAAGAGAAAGATCTCAAGGAGCTTTCCTTAAAAACAAATAAAGTCAGAAAAGTTATCTAAGGACATCCATCTATTGTGTCTGCAGCCTATGTTATTTTCTTCAATCCATAATGTATTCATCTAATGATCTATCTATCTATGCCTCTAACAGTATACTATTTGAGCCCATTAATTCAACTGTGAATAAGCTCGCTGTGTTTTGTCTTTCCAAATATTGCTAATTATGTGAGTAATTTTAAAACAGTTTTAGAGCCTTGTCATGTAATATGGATTTGTAATAGCTTGAAAAGTAGTACAAAAATAAAAAACTACCATGTTCAAGCCTACCATATTCAAGCCTGCCTGGACCCAAAATGTATATAAATATGTTGTCTAATTTTGCTAATGTAGATAATTGACTGAAAAAGACAGCTCAGACAGTGGCTTTTATGACAATGTCTAATATGGAATGTCATGGTTGCCTCAATAAACCACGGTATTTCAAAGTATCAAGTGCAATTTCATATATAGACTGGGTAAAATAGCGGCAATGTGCATGGTAAAAACAAAACAAAAACTGCAGATGGAAACACATAGGGGGCAGTAAAGAGCTGATTCACACAGCGCTAATGAGGCTGAGACCAATGGGCTGAGACACGCAGCAGAGGCCCAACTTCATAACATATGTTTTACAGACATATACGCAACAATATCAACAATTAAAAATTAACATAAATATTACCACAATATTATGCGCACGTTATGTACAATGACCACAACTGCACAGAGAGTAAAAAGGTTGAATTTACTCGCAAAACCATGCTTCTTTTGAACTGGCCTGATTAAAACTATTGTTAAGCTGTTTTACATGTTTAATTAGAGATGGACTGATCACCTTTCTTTTATGCATAAAAAAATAACAAAAATATGAATTGTAAACTATTAAAACCAATATCATTTCAAACTATAAACTTATTTGGTGGACAGGGAATAATAAATACTGGGCAGAAGTTAAACATACATAGGTTCCTTGTGTATATATATAAATATTTCTAACCCCGTCAAACACTCAGGCCTATGTTTATAATGTCATTTTACACACAGCGATAACAACTATTGAAAAACGGATCTAAAAAGTCCAATAAAGCTTGAAATGCCCCTGTAGACTCGTGCAGGGAAGATATGAGGAAAAAGGCAAAGTATTGGGTTTCGCCAGGACAGCTTTCCTCTCCGCACGGAAACTGGAGCTGCTTTTGTGATGTCACACTATAGAGAGTCAATAAGCGTCAATGCTATCGATGTTATAGACCGTGTGCAATCGGCAGGTTTGAAAAAAATATGAGAACCCGATCAGTCAGGGGCAATGTGTTTAAGTGAGTTATAGCTCCTGAGTTGACCATCTTCAATCAATCAATCAAAGTTTATTTGTAGAGCGCCTTTCATGCACAGGGCAACACAAAGCGCTTCACAGTCCACATCACAAATCATCACATAAAACAAACACCAGAATCACAATTAAAACATTAAAATCACACAAAAGATTAAAACACAATAAAAACAATAAAATCACACAAAAGAATAAAACCATTAACACTTTCAAAGTTACACAAGAAATTTAAAAAAAATAAATAAATAAATGACAGCAGTGCATTACAAATGGAGATAAAATCCTTCAGTTGTATGCACAGGCAAACAGAACAGTCTTTAACCTGGATTTAAACATTGACAGAGTAGACGCCTCCCTCACATTTTCAGGGAGATTGTTCCAGATCTTAGCTGCATAGATCTGAAACGCAGCCTCCCCATGTTTGGTTCTCACTCTGGGCACCAGCAGGAGGCCAGTCCCTGTGCTCCTCAGAGTCCGGGCTGGTTCATATGACACCAACATGTCACTAATGTATTCTGGTGCAAGGCCATGGAGAGACTTGTACACAAGCAGAGCTGTTTTAAAATCTATTCTTTGAGCCACAGGAAGCCAGTGCAGAGACCTGAGGACCGGACTAATATGGTCATACTTCCTGGTTCCTGTCAGGACTCTAGCTGCTGCATTTTGGATGTACTGCAGCTGCTTACAGGTCTGTTTGGACAGACCTGTAAGCAGGCCATTGCAGTAGTCTAGCCTGCTGGAGACAAATGCGTGGACAAGAATCTCCAAGTCTGCCCTGGACACTATATTTCTGACTTTGGCAATGTTCTTCAGATGGTAAAAAGCTGTTGATGTTATTGATTTTATGTGGCTATTGAAATTTAGGTCTGAGTCCAGTATTACCCCCAAATTTCTGACCTTGTTTGAAGGTTTTAGGGAGAGAGACTGGAGGTGACAGATGACGCCCTCTCTTTGTTTCAATCTTATTATTGAATTATTTCATTATCTATTACCAAACAGATCCTGCATCACCTGAGTGCTCCTATTTCTCCTTAAATTCTGCTGTAATATTCTCAACTAAGACATTGAAACTTCCCCACTGAGGGACGGATAAAGCCCTATTTTATCTTATCTTATCTATTAAAACATCAAAATCATTCTTTTATTGCCATTGGAAGCAACAGTAAGTCACCAACAAGGAATTTGCTTTGGCTCATTGAGCAAACAAGGCAAGCAAAACTTATATTATAAAAAATAATATTAGCATTTCTACTATATAAAAGTGCACATTACACAATAGACATTAAAGTGCAGTAAAGTGACGGTAGTTGAAGGTGATGGTGGTAAAGGGCAGGGTCAGGAAGTGTTAAGAAATGAAGAAAGTATAAAGAAAATATACAAAAAGTCAAGTATTTTGCAGAGTTTTTTTTTTTTTGGAACACATATTGGCATCGCTTAATATGGACATGCATCAAATACGAATTTAAGATGTAATTTAGACAGAAATTGTAAAAAAAAAAGTGATTTAAAGTAGGGTTATTTCTGAACAAATGTTGGCATAACTTATTATAAAGACATAACATCATGATGGAATTTGTATTTTAGATTTTATTTTGCAAAGTTGTACAAAAAAATGTATTTAATTTTGTGTGAGACTTAGATTGTCCCTGATTCATGGTAAATTCCATTAAAGATAAAACAAATTTTACATATATAATAATATTGAATTAAATAAAGAATAATATACATATCATTTGTCAGTTTTGTTTTACAGGTGAAATGAGTCAAATACAATATAATTATTATCATTCATATTAATAAATACACAAATTCATGACATTTTTCATCTACTTTCTAAAACCCTGTCTGTGCTGAAAATATGAGTGTGTTTCAATGACTATAAGTGATGACCAGTAACCGCAAAAATACAATTAGCCAGAAAACATAATCCACACCATCAAACCAGCAGCAATAATACTTTAAATAAAACGTTTAAAATCACTACTGAACGTACCAAACAGAGAGTTTCCATTCCTGCCTTTCCTCATCAGACACATGGCCCAGGACAGGGGCGCGTGGCCAGAGAACGCCCCAGTGTTCATGCCTCAAAAGTTCCTTCCTTCGCCCGGCCGTTTTAATCCCAAATCTAACCTAATCTGGTTTAGCCTCTGCTTTTTATACCACTCCTGTCTGATAATAAAGTGAGTGGCCCAGTGGAGCTGAAGTGAAGTGTCCAGAGGAGAAGCTTTTGCCCCGGGGGAAAGGAGCTCTCTCTGCCCCGGGGCTTCTAACACGCCCGGCTCTCAATCCTCCTCATCCACCCCTCGTCTTCATCACGACAGCACCAGTTTGTCTGAGTGCATGGACTGTGTGTAAAGCTTTTCATTTCAATATTCAATGTTTAAGTTTCTTTTCATAGTTGGAAGAGTGGAATGGTGCCAGTTTTTTAACAGAGGTTTTAGCTTTGCTTTGAATGATCCAGAGAAACTAGCATTAACTAACTTTTGCCTTGATGTTAAATTTGTCAAAATCACTCTTCATCTAATCTGACAGAGCAATGACTTGTTTTGTAAAGACAAAAGGCAAAAACTCTCAATCTCCTGACGCACAAAACCTAGAAGCCGAGAGAGGGTTATAACTCATCTTGTATGGGTCTCAAACTGCTGTGAGGTCAAAAGGCATAGGCTAATCCCTGTTTTCATTTTAAAAACTTTTATACAGATACATTTATTTTTTCCTCTGATTTCTCTCTTTTGTTGTTGTTGAATTGACAAATTAAAAGTCCTCCGAGATGACTGTGGTTGTGATTTAAGGACACACTTTTAGACAAGAGACTGAGCCACAAACTCCTTGACTAGCGGGGTACCACCTGAACCCAGCTTTCATCTCATCCTTCATTTCAAATTCACAAAAAGCAAAACCATTTCCCAGTCCAGTGTATCGTGACTTGTTGCAGTGAACACCACCATGTTGGTTTTGCATATAAAGTA